CCAAGGAAACGTTTTGCATATGGAAGCATTACATTCTGGAGGATGTTTATGTACACTGTTTGATCCATGATGCCGTCGATTTTATGAAGGGGACCCATTCCTTTTGCGGAAAAAGCACCCCACACTATAACCGAACCGCCTCCATGCTTCATTGTAGGAAGTTGGTATTTGGGGTCAAAGCGTTTGCTTTCAGGACGACGAACCCACTTTATTCCGTCACTACCGAACAGCATAAACTTACTTTCGTCGCTCCAGGGAACGTCAGACCATTGCCGTGATGTCCAGTTAAGGTGTGCTTTGGACCACTCTACTCGCGCCTTTCGATTCTTCGCAGAAATGAATGGCTTCTTCACAGGTCTTCGACCATGTAGTCCTGCGTCTTGCAGGCGACGGCGTATGGTACGTACAGATAGATTAGACTGTCCTGGAGTCAATATTTCTTTAGCAATGTCCCGCGCCGTGAGATGTGGGTTGCTACGAGATGTACGCAAAATGTTGCGATCGACGAGAGAAGTAGTACAACGCGGTCGGCCACGTGTTTTCTTATTAATAGAACCTTCCTGAACCTTTAAACGCTTAAGCAACTTGGTCACCGCTGATTTGGAAATGCCAAATTGCTGGGCGAGTTCTTTACGCGTCCGTCCTTGTTTGCGACCCTCTACGATAGCTTTCCGTTGTCGTTCGTCCACATTTCGAACACCACGAGTCTTCGCCATCTTCTAAGATACTAAACTAATGTTTACAGCCGTGTAGAAGTAGCGACAGAATACATAAACATAACGAGTACACAAAGGTTGTCAACGGACAATTTTGGGACAATCAATAAATAACTTTGAAAATCATAGTATATGATGTCAAATTTTTTTATACATTACACACACAGTGTACATGATACCAGCTATCTGCTGTAAAAATTTGAATTTATTTTCTTTACTGTGAAAGAAGTTATGGTCAAAAACCCTGAAGGTGATATATTTTTGGCCGGTACTGTACATCATTGAAACGTCGACGTTTGAATTTGAACTTTAGGGTAGCCAAAGGAGCGGGGAGACGGAAGGCGGTGAAGGGGAGATACGGGACGAAAGGAGACAATTGTCTGATGAGTGTGATTCATAAAATTCAATACTCATAACGTAACGCCCTCTCAGCGAGACGTAAAATCCCTAAAAGAATTTTTCCGAACAACATTCCACTCGAAACGTGTGAAAAATTCATTCGAAGCAATAGTGAAGTTACGAGCTCTTTGATGCTCCATCAAATGAAGAAAGAAAAGAAGCAAACAGAGGCCAATGGAAGTCGACACAATGGGAGTTTTGCTTGGTAAAAGCATGAAGTGACGGCCAAGTATAAGCGGTAAAATATTTCAATCGATTGGAGCGAACCGCTCGAGACTTCGACAATGTCGAAGTCGTCCCTCAGCATGTCCCTTTCGCATGTAAATACGATCCAACGATTTCAAACGGAAGGTACTCCCGATGTGTCTTCGCTCAAATAGAATTTCGCTCGAAGGCATTTGGTAAAAATATATCGTCGTGCCGACATCCGCGAGACCGTTGAAATATTCCGGGAAATGATCCTTAGGTATTTCCTATTTGGAATCGCTTTCTCTCGGCCATGTAATAAACGTTCTCAATTATTCCTATTTATTCCCAATTCACACCTCAGGTTCGCTTTCGATCTGTACCGAAACGCGACGCTGGACGTGCACCTGTCATTACACAGTGGTTACCTGCAATCATAAAAAACCAAGGTACGCCCGGCGATCACTTTCACCGTACGACCCGACCGAGTTCGGTTTCGTTAGTAGTGACAATTTACTCTCTCCACTTCTCGAGATCTTTACACGTGGAAGAAGGGCAAGCAATTAGCCTATTCCGTGAAATGTCGCGACGACATGAAGAATGTAGCGGCTGGCAACGCTGAGACGCAATCGACGTGGGAGTGTGCTGAATTGAGCGACTTAAATCTCGTCCGACGAAGCTGGAGATCTCGATCGAACGAGGGTCTTTATTGTGTTTACGTACTGAAAGTACGTCTCGACTCGTCCTCGGTCGAAATCGGTCAAGGCGCAAAGTTTCCCCGCGAATAAATCGCGAGTAATACTTGGGAAGAACAGACGCGCCGGCGGCGCAGCGGATAGCGACTGTTGAGTGTGTTTGTTTTTATCTATTTGTAACCGTGTCAAGTTATATCGCATATTCCACAATTAATTAATTACGATTAAGGTCTAACTGGCTAATGGGGGTGGACAAGGGACATCTTAGTACATACGATGTCAGTCAGCAACCAGTTTCGCGCGGTATCATCGCGAGATTTTCGACACTCGAAAGTCACAATTATGAAGATGATAGAAATGTGCGAACTATTCGAATTCGAATCCGAATAATTCGAATAGGAATCAAATACGTTATCGTTTGCGTGCATCAGCTACAAAAACGGACCATCTGGGCCTGTATGTCTGAACCTTTAACTTGTAATTAACTTAACTTATGATTAAGAATTTAATTATAAATTACTTTAAATATTTAAATATATGTTTTACTTTAAGATGATATTACAATATATCAATATTCCCTTTCATATTAAAATCTTCCATCATTATTTTATATGTTTAATAGTCATGTTAAATTTTTTAGTGTTTTCATACGATTTCATTCGATTCGATTCGATTCGAATTCGAGTGAAATAGATTTCATAGATTCGATTCGAATTCGAATTTAAAAAATAAGATTCGATTCGATTCGACATGAAAATTCTTGATTCGCACATCTTTAGAAGATGATAAATAAGAAAGACAGGAAAAACGATTCCACATATACTCGATGTAACTTCAACCATTTTTGTGCGTAGTCAATGCGGCTCAGCCAAAAGAGAGTAAGAGAGGGGGCAGAGGAGAGGGAGAAAGTGAAAGAAGAAAAACTCGATATGACCTAACTGAGTGGCTTAACTGACTACATTGAGTCTCCTTGTGAAAAAAAGAGGTTACTTTCGAAAGAAAGATAAGTTATTGTAAATGCTACGTAGTCTGCCAAAAAAGAGTGAGAGGGGGACAAAGGAGAAGGAGAGAGTGAAAGAAGGAAAACTCGATATGACCTAACTAGATGGCCTAACTGGCTACATTGAGTCTCTTTGCGAAAAAGAGAGGTTACTTTCGAAAGAAAGATAAGTTATTGTAATTATTGCAATAGAGGAATACGTTTATGCAGTTTAGAAATGGTTTAAATACGCCATTCAATGAGCACGATGTTAAAGCAATATAACAGATTTTGATTAATTGTCATCCGCGAAAAAAAAACAGTAACATTCTCAAAACGTAGTAATATTCAGCCCGTTCGTGGTTAAAAAATAAAATTTCCAATCGAATATATTCTCTCTCTTATTTATTCGGGAGAATCATTTCATCATATTTACGCGTGTGTAAGTTAATGGGAACTCATGTTGATGAGAAGGTATCGTCGATCTTCGGCTCGTAATACAATATTTTGAGTTTCCAAGTCACAATTATATATTATTTTAAACGCGTTTCAAATATTTTACTCCGGAGAAGAACGATAAACCCGTTCGGACCTCTCCTAGAAACCTGTTTTTTCTGAGATTTCACTCTCCATACACCATAACGTGGCATGAATATCACGTAATAGTATCAAAGGATATAACTATTACCATCGACTGATAAGCTGCAATAATCCTACATGCCTAGGAGACCTACATGCCACTTTTGAATTGAGGCGAATTGCTTCAGATCGTAAAAATAATACATGTGACATTGTAATTCTTGTAGCGCTATACTTTGATAGCTTGATGAATGAACACTTCATGAATTTAACGATGATGGATCGCCTGATGCAAGGATAAGGCATATTAAACAAGTCTAGCAAGGCAGCGCAATCAGCGCAATTTTCAAATATAACTTAACGCACTCATATTTATATTTGCATTAAATTATACAGATTTCAAATGCATCGTCATACGTAAACGCGTGTGTGTGAAAAAAATAGAAGCGGGAAGGAAGCAAATGGCATAAAAAAAGAAACGATAAATATTAAACAGAACGAGCTAAAGTTTGCACGTCATTCTTGAATAAATATCTACGCACGCTCGTGCATGCGCGATAGGCGTAATTGTAAATTAGAATAAAGTTAAAAACGTTAAGTTACGTAAATCTTATCATTCTAACCGCGATAAATATACCCTGATGCAAATGTGGGGATACGATATTCAAAATAAATCGTCAAAATTCAATGTTAACTCGATTGATGAACAAGTGCACGAGTTGGCGAATGAAATTCAAGTTCAAAAAACACGCGGAGACCGACAAACTATATATAATAACTATAATTAGAGCGATTAGAACGTCTCATGATTACGCGACCCATCCTGTTCGGCTCGTGGCGGTTAGTTACGTGTAGTAGGGAGTCGTCGATTACATATGTACGATAGAATACACGTAGCGGTCGGGAATGGCAAACGTGGAACTGCCAAGCTCAGAGTGTAGATCGTTGTGTTAAACGAGGCTGCATCGCGCAAGGACAAGATCTACGCGCATAATTTAGAACCGTCTCTCTTCGTTCCTCACAGACTCGGTGAATACACCATCACGCGAAGGGAGAAAGAGAGTGCAGTCGAAGCTGGAAGGATAAATCGTTATTGCTGAATCTCGTGATACACCGTGATATACGTGAAAGTCATGGGCTCTACCGTCAGTACTTTGGGGTACGTAGAACAACAAGAAGCAGCGCGTCGAGCGGCAGTGATTACCGCTGACGTTTGATTCGCACACCATTTAACGCGTCATATTGCGGCCTATCGCTTAATCATGTCCAGGCACTCAGACGCTAAATATTACGTTAGTGACAATCATGCGCGTGTTTGAGATTGAGAGAGGCACGGGCAGAGGCTGTATTCGCGACAGCTACGGCCGTGCGAAAATCAACGCTCGCCGCGAATATTCGGTAAAATGAATTTGTGTGAAAAAAAATACAATAAATATATCGTTATGTGTGTGTGTGTGTGTATACGACGTTATAAACATGTTCGTGTATGTACATAACATTTCTTGAGGTTCTACAATCTCTTGCTTCGCGGTCTAACTCTACGGTATTATCGGAACTGCGGTATTGCGCGGATAACACGAATGAAATGCTTGATCAAAGAACCATGTATCGCACCTCCAATTTCGTAAGTGAGAGAGGAAAGCTGTGTATAAAACACAGTTGAATATAATTAAAAGATAATTCTTTTCCGAATATTTTCAAAACGAGTTCAGTTATTTCCTGTACTTTCTTGGACGTTGAATGCGAATCCAGCTTGCTTCATCACGATACGATTCTGAGCAATTTGCAGTTACTGCAAACTGCACAAAAGAGCCATTTTGTCATATAACTACGAAATGTGACGTGCGGAAGAAATTTGTTTGCGATCAAAATTGAGTATGTTGTCAGAACTCGCAGTCTTTAAAAGGAATTGTTTCTCATGTTTCTATACGGTCGACAACATATTCGTGGTTGACGATTTACTAAACAGCTTTCGATTACGTTAATTTAAGCTCAACGGTTTTTTAGATCTCCGAATCCGATGCCGAAATTCAAAATGGATTTCGTATGGTGGACATTTTTTTGAGTTTTGGCATCCTCTACGAAGGAAAGAAGTAAAGAATCGTACGTATCGTACGTTTACCACGTGAACTCCGTGCGAACCGAATGCGTAAAATATAACATAAACATGCTTCTTTTATGAAACTTTCATTAGATCAATATTTACATTTTTTCTTGAGTGGTCCGTGCAACAACTGCTACTTATAACTGACAACTGCTGTTTATAGCCCGCAAATATGACAAAGATAAGTCACTTTAGCAGCGCACTGAGCGATGGTACAATTAACAATAACAACTTATGAAACTTATCACTGCGAAATAATTTATGCCTACTTTATCTTGAATGCTCTGACACTATTCTCCTTAAAAATTAGTGCTTATTACGTACACGTGTGGTTCATCGCAGAACCGTAGAAATTTACGCTATGTTCTGGTATATTTTCTTACATTCGCAGCAACGAAAATACAACCGATAATAACTGACATCTGTCGCATATCTAATTGAATCATCGTCTAATTGAATTCAACATATCGCTAAGCAAGCAACGATCATACTTCAGGTGCGTATGATTTTTTTTTTTTTTTACGAAAAACTATCGTGAAGACGAGAATACCACTTCGTTGTCGTTTGTTCCGCAATTTGCATATTTTAATGTGTCGCAATGCTTTTGTCACCGACTGTACCATTACAAGAAAAGCATCGAGGCGGCACATCAAGGACGATTCTATATAAAAACTACGCAAAAAAAAAGTAACGCTGATAATTGGTCAACGTCATATCTAAGTATTGGTCATGGTATCGGTCATATCTAGGTATAAAAGAAAATGCGCATGTACATACAAACGGGGTGACTACATTTCGCACTATGCATCTGTCAAATAATCGTCTTTTATTCATCGCAATTAATAATTGTCTTTCAATGTGTACAATGTGATGAACGAATAATAACGAAGATACACGCCTCAAGGCTGAATTATAACTGTGCGATGCAATGACATTCACTAAGTGGAAATAATTTATCTTTTTCGGAAAATCTGCTGAATACTGTCGTCTCTCTCGAATATTCTTCATCTTATTATATTTTATACACGTGTGTATGCAAACGAAATGCGTGCGTAGAATATGAAGCAAACTCGTTTCAAAACAATTTTATAATCAAGGCGTGTTTCTTCTGAAAAGATACCGCGTCGTAATTCAGCTTTGTGCCGACGTTTCGCAAACATTGCAGCTTGCATCATCAGGACTAGGAACTCCGATGATGTAACACAGTAGATGATGAAACACATCTTGATTGTATCAATGGCCGCGAAAGTGTAAAAAGTAAAATTTCATAATGTTTTATAATGTTATTATTTTTATTAGAGTGGAACGACGTTGTATGAAGCTCATGTGAGGAACAATCGGTTCGTAAGTAATCCGTTGCCTCTCTTCGTTTCCCGACAATCGCAATGAATGGATAAAAGATAGAAAGCGGTTTGTAAGCCGACTGTAATAATTAATTCACCGACTGCGGCTGAAATGCGCTTGGGAATTTCGCTAATTCGCTAATTCGCTTTCACATCCTTTATTCTTCGCGTAAGTTCGCGTCTATCTCGCGGCAGCGTTTTTAAGCGTCGTGACGTTTGTACATTTGTGCCGGTCGAGTCCATAAATTCCTCGGAATTAGATGCAGATTAGACAGATGCACGTTACGAGCGCCTCAATGTTGTAACCCGTCGTATAATAAAGTGTTTCCGCGTGTAATAATCAACATCTTTCTAAATACATGGGAACACTCGCGACGAGTCACGTAATGAAGGTAATGACGCGTTGCGCGTAAGACAAAATTTCGCGTCTGGCTGATAGCGAGTCGGTCATTAAAAGTCGTCATTTGCAAAAGAGAAAAGATGACTCCGCCGTTTGCGAAACTCCGTCGCAAGTATTCATCATGCGCGAGATAAATGATTTCACATTCGATTGTACCCAACGAGTCAGCAATTCCTCCTTGTGTCTGACTACGGTTACATAAAGTCGCCGATTAAACTCATTAGACTTATCGTGAAATCTGCCGCTACAAAGATTCCATTGAGAGAAACGGCGCAACAGCCTTATTGCGTTGCATGTCGCACGCGTTTACAAAGTTCTTCGTCGCATAAAACGTAATGTGAGAGAATTTGTATTCTTCTATTTCTTCTTTCTCCTAAGAGAACTTCTCCTACCGCGAACTGTTGTCGACGAGACTTGATGGAGAAATATATGTAATCGGTCACTTTCGTTCGCCGATCGTTGATCGTCGTTGAAAGTGACTGTCGGGTCGGAAAGATCCGGGTGGCCATGATTTCTCGATTTTCGCGAAATCCAGATTTTTCGAATCCGGATTTTCACGAAGGGACGCGAGCGCGAAGTTCTGCGGATGTGCGCAAGTTATGCGCAAGCGAAGGAAAATTTCGCTCTCCCTGAAGCGCTATCGTTCATTTCGGCGGATTATTGTGTGTAAATTTTGAAGCGTTGAAAGAAGGCATGGGAGAAGAAGCGGTGGAGAAACCGCACTCTGAGTAAAAAATAGTAGATAAAATAGTATATGTAAATAAAATAGTATAGATAAACAGTAGATAATAAAATATTATATATGTATACATGTAAATATTATATATGTATATATGTATATATGTATATATGTATATATGTATATATGTAAATATTATATATGTATATTATGTAACTTGAATGGCGTCAATTCATGATGTATGAATCAACGAGTATTCTCGATATGTCGGTCTCTTGTAGTTTATGCTAGAAAACTCGCCGCCAGTTCTTACGCAAAACCAAGCTGCAGCGGATCGTTGAGAATTAACGAACCGCTATCGTTCCAATAGCAATTTTCATCGAGCGCAACCCAACCTGGTTGTTCGAGCGTGGTCGCAGGTAACAGTTTATTTTACACAACATTCGACAATATGTGCAGTGACATTTGAGACTTCTGTAGCCTGAAAAAATGTTTCGTTCAGCTTTTTTCTCGGTAAGGTGTCGCTTGTGGATGTCATTTCGATGCAGTGTCAGGGCATTGGTTAGTCGAAAGATTTCAGTCGACTAAAGTAATCGGCAAATCGATCGTGAAAATTAGTCGTATACACAGTGTGTGGAAAAAAAAATGTCGGGGCATTTTATTCGGAATTATTATTTCGAAAAGATATGACGTTTTCGGAAAAAAATGTTGTTTTACACAAAAGTTGTAGGGTACCAAGTTATCCATCGTGTGATGATATTGGTTTGATTTTAAACTTGGAAAAGTAATATCAAGATCATAAGTTTCTTAAATGGGAACCCCTATTTCTTAACATCAATTCTTGTAGCCGCTATCAAAATCTTTTCAAGCCTTTTCAGATCTTTTCAAAACAGTATGACCAAGTTTTGCTTAATCAAAAACTGTACGAGATATTCGTCCCTAAAATTTAAATATCGCCGGATATCCGAGCGTTATCCAAGGTGCACCTATTGTCAGCAATTATCTGACTTTATTGCAGCTTTTTTACAACAATTCTTAATCACTTATTTCTTTGTGAATGAACTAACTTCGATTTTATTATAGATTTCAAATCTACATCTTATTTCATTAAATTATTTATTAAAATTGGAAACAACGCTAACACCCGGCGATATTTAAACTTTAACGGCGCATGTCTTGTACAGTTTTTTTAATCATACTGTTTTAAAAAAACAGTCTCAATATCGACTACAGAAAAATAATTCATAATAAAAAATAGGGGTATCTATTTAAAAAACTTAAGCTCTTGATATGACTTTCTCAAGACCGTGATGCGATGAGTAACATGTGTCCTACAACTTTTGTATAAAACATATTTTCCGAAAACATCATTTTTCCGAGATAATTCAGTGTCCCGATCTTTTTGTTATACGCTGTGAATAATTCAATCGATTGATAACGTCGATTATTAATTAGTCCAGAATTAGAACATTTGATTGAAACAACCGCTACGTATCATCAGGATTCATTCGATGTTTATTTAAATTATTTTACTCAAGAATAATTCTCCATTCGATCAAACATTGGTTTTTGATGTTACATGGACAATTCAGCCCTTCCGTTAAAAAAAACCTGAAGAAGCGAACTGAAGTGTTGATGAAACATCCGAAAGAAATCCAATGACGCAATATCCTACTAGATAAATCAAATAACAATATAAAGATATGATGCATGAATCTCAAGAATAGAAACTCGTCCTACTGGTTAGTTTTTGCCTCTTTTTTTTAACACGTTGGTCTGAGATGCGGATGGCAGAGCGAAATACGAATACATATCTACGAAAGAACTTATTCAACAAAGTTTATAGGAACTTTATTTTAGTTTCTTCGGAAATAATAAAATAGGATAAACTTAAAAAAAAAGATATTTATAAAAAAGTAAAAATAGGATAACAACTGTGATGAAATAAAATAAATGTTTTATGAACATTTTATCTCAACCAAGTTATTATAATAATAATAAAATTATTATTATTATTGTTATTATTATTATAAGTAATAATTCAAACAAATCTTTTTGATCGTCATGACAGAAATATTTCGATAAAATACAATAACTTAAAATTATAATAACATTGACGGCACGACTCAGTCAGAGCGTGTGTTATTCAGTTCATGACCTAAGTAACCCTCAAAAGTAATCCTCAAAAAGAATAAGCCCGCATTTATTGTTTATTAAAAAATTATGAAGGAGCTTTATAAAAGGACCGTAGTTTTTCGACACAGATTTCCCGGCAATACACATACATTTAAATATAATATATCGTCATATTCAACCTATACGATTTATTTAATAAATAATCGGAATGATGCTGTAAAACATAAAACGATGGCCGTATCGATATAAATGTTTTTACTTTTATTCGAAATACATTCCTTCTGCGTCAATACACAGAATGAGAAGCGGTCAAATAAGGAGTAATTCTTTTCTGATTTCGGAATCGCTCCGAGTACCATTGTCACCTCCAACACGCACGTCGCTTGTGAGTACACCTTATACCTTGCATAGTCATTGCATATCTGTGCACTTTAATACAAGTTTTATTTGTTTCACTAAGTGGTCAATTCGATCATTGTGTTATTCAACATTTATTATTGGAAACAGGAATTATAATTGTCAGATGTACGCTATGCATGTGTGCAGTCTCACAGTCATCTCATAGTCAGTCATGTTTCCATGTTTGCATGTTACGTTTTTCACAAACAGAAATTATCGAATGTACAATAAAAAAATTATCATGTTTCCGTATATTATTATTTTCAAAAGGCACACTTGTACCTCATAAAACGCGTGTTGGTGGACGCAGGATGCCGATACGAGGGCTAAGTTCCAAAACGACGAAGTTAAAGACGATAATGTAAGTTTATGTTGCTGACTAACTATAAATCTCTAACATGAACCGACCACGATGTAATCGCATCTTCAATTATTCGAGAAGAAAGGAAAACAGACAAGAAACCGAAGTCAAATTTCGTTTTAGATTTATAAGTTCTGCGGTTTAATTTATTAATCTATTAATCGCCAATATTGTATAATTTCTCTCTCTCTCCCTCCCTCTTTCTCTCAAAAAACAATAAATGGAAACAATTCCTCAAAGCTTCAACCCGCACTTCCACTTTCGTGGAACCGACGATAATAATCAAATTAACAAAGAGATATCCCGAGAAATCCCGAGTGTGCAATAAAACTTTATGTCGGAAGAAATTAGCGTGTTATCTATTATTTCTCCCGGAAGTAGCAGTCAAGATAACGTGCCAGTAAATAACAACTGACAATAGCATGTCTTAATATATCAATATTATAAATTTCTCCCTCAACGATCGTCAATATGTTTCCTTACATTTACATTGCTGAGTTGGAAATAATATTGGTGACAATGATATGGATGGATGATGAGAGATGATAACGGGGAAAATTCTATTAAGTGATGCTTTCTGGGACACGTAAAACGAAAGCCGATTGAATAGAAGTCGGCATCTCCATGACTCATGGCACAAATAATTTTATCGCGTTTAACGATGCGCACATAATTGTGTGCGGTATGACGAAATCTCGCAAATAATTAACGCTCGTTCTTTTCATCCAGCTCGCATTTTATTTCAGGGATGCCAAATCGTCGGTCGAATTTACAATCAACGGAGAGTCGCATGTGGGTATGTATTCCCTTCAGAGTGTGATTTGTGTAAATGATGATGATTTCGCGATAGAAAAATGGACCAAATAATTTGATTAAAAAGAATTTACTCATACCACCCAGCAGTCGCCCATTGTCTTCTATTATCTTTTTATATATTATACACCTACATATTCGTGTGTGAGTGTTGCCAAAAAAACCGGGTCAGTCACCTCATCTTTGAGAAACCTATCAAAATTTGCGCGCCCACCCAGTTCTATAATATACATAAAAATACGTGAATCCGTGTGGCATGTTCATGCATTACGATTGCGATGTATCTTGATTGAGAGTGAGCCGATATCATGTCGCATAATCGCGATGCAATTTCAAAATCGTTTTCAGTGTCCGGAAACATACCGGTCAACACATCCCTCAATGTCTACATCCGCGACTATGCGAAACTGCGTGGCACAAAGGCGATGTGTCACGAAGGTGGTTGCGGTGCTTGCATCGTTGCTGCGGAAATCGACGGTCAGACAATGGCCGTGAATTCCTGTCTCATACCGGTGCTGATCTGCAACGGGTTCGTATGTGGCGTATATCGACTGTTCGGTCTCGATGAGTCGACGGTGATCGTATGCTTAGCGTATGAGCGGCTTTCATTATGTTCGACAAATAAATACATGCGTGTACAAATACCTCGACTTTAACCGCTATCAGCAGTCTAAGCATAAATCCTCATAAAAAACGTGCAAAACTTAATGAAAAGAGTAAGCAAATTGCCACGATTTATTGCTTCTTGAATAACGAAAACACGATGACAAGATAATTGTTTCGAAAATAACTTTCCCGATCTTAATTCCCAATAATAATTATCTGTTTAAAAATTTTACCATGCAGTTTCCCTCGATATTAATCCTCGACTTAAATATAATTGCGAAGAGAGGGGACAATATTCTCATCTGGCCTTGCGACTCAAAATTTCTCATCAGTATCGCGTCCGTTTTGATGGTATGTTTCGATTTCTGAGTACTTATTTTTATAATGAATATTTTAATAGATGGGTGGTTCACACGATCGAAGGCTTAGGCAACAAGAAGCAGGGTTATCACACGATACAAGCTACGCTCGCTGAGAAGAATGGCTCGCAGTGTGGATACTGTTCCCCCGGCATGGTGATGAATCTCTACAGGTATCCGCGCCACGAAGAGATCGATTGAAATTGATTGAATGTATAAGAAAGCGGAATATATAAAAGGTTCTACTCAAAATACAGTAGAGGGTCAAATATCAAATCTTCGTCGTCCTCGATGTTATTTTACTGACCGTAGCAGGATACAACGATAAACTCTGACCGGCAGAAGTTGTTAATTAATCAGGAACACAATTTTCGCTCTGAACACGCTTTCAACGATACACGCTGACGATTATAAAATATGTATTTTAATACCCTTTTCATCATATCTTCCAGCCTCACGAAAAATAAGAAATTGACTATGCAGCAGATTGAGAACTCGTTCGGCAGTAACATATGTCGCTGCACCGGTTATCGGCCGATATTGGAGGCGTTTAAAGGATACGCTAGCGATGCGCCCCCGTCTCTGAAGAAAAGCATTCGCGATATCGAGGTGAATATCGCGAGTAAGATTTTCATTCCTGCCAAGAATTTTATCTTTTACAATTCCGTCCAGGCGAAGCCTGGAAATCTAATCTTGTGCCATCAAAGAAAGTTCTATTCCCAAGATTCTCAGACTGGTCGTATTAACTTGAGTATTCCTTTCGATATCTAATTCGCGACAAAAACTATATTTTCGCAGGATCTGTACAAAATCAAGACTTGCCCGGAGAGCGGTTTGCCATGCACGCGTAAATGCGCGGACAACAAACTTCAGGCCGGTGTTCCGTTGGACATTAAATTGGATGACGCTGAGTTTTTCAAGGTTTACTCGATAGAGAATCTGTTCGCGATATTTCAGCAGAAACCGAAGGCCACGTACATGTTGCACGGCGGCAACACCGCTCACGGTAATTGCGAGAGAATGTTCCCTTCGTTCGCGAAACGACGTCTTTGGATAAAAATATCGAGACAGAATTTAGAATATTCATAAAATAATGCTACATTCCTGCATATTATTATCTACTTCGTCAAATAGAAAATATAACGGGCTTGTTGTAGCGATAAAAAGAGAATCCGGTCGAGCAAACATTCGATATTTTTACATGATTTTTATACGTTTTCATACGTTTTATATATATATATTTTTGATATTGATACGCTTATATATACGTTCGCGCAGGATCAACGATCTCGCGATAAATAACACGTGCCGATATTAAAGGGAAAAGCGAGCTCAATATCCGGTGTTCTGTGCCGATGCAGAATGCCGAGATAATCGCGAAACTTTCCGATGCGTTCGTCATCAGCGCGCTTAATTGAAAGTCACCAGCGCCGTTTTTCGGATAGTTACGTGTTAATGCAGATCACTTATGCACATGCGAAATATATCGTGCAGGTAGATCGGATACTTTTTCATGCAAATTGTATAGTTTACATATGTGGTACGTGCATAATATACATCTGACTGAATGCATCGACTCTCCACAAATCGCGTAACCAAGTTATAAATAACTCTCAATTTTTTGACTCTAAATGAACCTTGAAAACGAACGTTCCAAGAACGAACAAACAGAACCTCGATGTTACAAAACCTTGTCCTGTATGAGCCCGCAGGTGTTTACCGCGCGGCCAAGTGCGACGTCTACATAGACGTGAACGACATACCAGACCTGCGTCGTATCGAGAAGACCCACGACACCCTGACCCTGGGCGGCAACGTGTCGCTCACCACAGCGATGGAAACGTTCGAGAAGTACTCTAGCGAGAGCGGATTCAAGCACCTGCGCCATTTGGCCCACCACATCGACCTGATCGCCAGCGTGCCGGTGCGTAACATGGGCTCGATCGCCGGCAACCTGATGATCAAGCACGCCCATCACGAGTTTCCGTCTGACCTGTTTCTCATGCTGGAAACCGCCGGTACCCAGCTGCACATCCTCGACGGGCCCGGCCGCAAGCACAACCTGATGCTGTTAGACTTCCTCAACACCGACATGCGGCACAAGGTCATCTACAGCGTGGTGCTGCCGCGCCTGTCGGACGAGTATGAATACAGATCCTACAAGATCATGCCGAGGGCGCAGAACGCGCACGCCCATGTGAATGCCGGTTTCCTCTTCAAACTCGACGGCGGCGGCAAAGTTTTGGAGAAGCCCAACATCATCTTCGGCGGCATCAATGAGCACTTCCTGCACGCCAAAACTACCGAGCAGCTGCTGGTGGGCAAACGCATTTTCGACAAACAGGTGCTGAAGTCTGCCCTGGAGACTTTGCACAATGAGCTGCAACCGGACCATGTGTTGCCGGATTACTCGCCGAAGTTCCGCCGAACCTTAGCCATGGGACTGTTCTACAAATTCTTGTTGAGCATCAAGCCGGACGAAGTGAACGCCAAGTTCCGCAGCGGCGGCACCATTTTGAGCCGAGAAGTCTCTTCAGGTGCGTTGAAGTCATCCGGGGTGACCGGGGGTGGTCAGTTTCGCTCTCCAGTAGCGTGTTCTCCTTCTTTCTCTTTTTCACTCGAAATTGTCCGATCAAAGTAAATTCAATGAAGTCAGTAAGAGCTAATTATCGTGTCGTTTCCGAGACTTAACTAACCTTAGTCCGGGCCAATCGTATCTGTCGAGCGAAATTGTAGAAGCGAAAACACTTCTTGAAAATATTTCAAGCACGCTAGAATTTTGTAGTCTTTCGTTTCTCGCGGGAAACATACGAAAACGAGCAAGATTATTAAATTTCGGATGCAATAACAAAAATGTAAATTGCATTTGGCGTATTAAGCCTCAGCATTGACCCGATGTTTCTTTCAGATTTCTAATCGTGGGAGATTTATTTCTCCTTTGATGCTCAAATCTTTCCTGCGAGAATTTGACACATCTTTTGCATTACTCAGATACAAAAGGAGTAACTTTAGGGCCCAGCATACCCTGCGTAGCCGTGTTAAGATATTATACATCGGGCGCCATATATTCAGCCTTGAAGACCGAGACAAGTGTACTCTAACAGATCATTATAGGTGTGCAGGATTTTGATACTGACAAAAAAATCTGGCCGCTCAACAAACCCACGGTGAAGCTGGAAGCGATCCACCAGACCTCGGGCGAGGCTCAGTATTGCAACGACCTGCCGCCATTTCCCGGAGAGGTATTTTGCGCCTTCGTCCACACAAACATCGGCAACGGCAAGATCGAGAGCGTAGACCCGAGTAAGGCGTTGAAGATGAAGGGCGTGATAGCATTTTACAGTGCCAAGGACGTGCCTGGCAAGAACCTATGTATAGCGGCCGCCAGTCAGGAAATTATGTTGTCGCAGGACGAAATATTGTTCGCCGAGAAGGATGTGCTATACGCAGGTCAGCCGATCGGCGTGATCGTTGCGGAGACGCACAATCTGGCGAACGAGGCCGCGAAATTAGTGGAGGTCAAATATAGCGACTCTTTGAAGAAGAAACCTATAGTGTCGATCGATGACGCCATCGCCGCGAAAGACGAAACCAGATTCCTCAAGAACGGCGAGAAAGTTGCTAAAAGAAAGGGTACGTGTGCTTGCGTCTCGGATAAATTTATATGCTTCATCCCCCTGCCGTAAAATTCCTATTCTAAAAGGATATTCTGAAATAACCAGATATTTGCTCGAGAAAAACATGTAGGGAAGTAAATAAACTAAAGAAGTTTAATTAACGTGTTAAATAATAAATTGTCTTCGCAAGTTCGCGGAATACGGGACAGAAGCGACTGTTGGTGGATCCTTGATATTCAATACCGAAAGGACAATGAACGGACAACGGGCCTTCGGGCTGATTCCTGCTTGCAACATTATAGAGAATCCCCATTTCTGGCATTGCGATTCTTCAAGATTGTAAAATTGAGAGAAAGATCAACATAAAGCACGGAATGTGTTTTTTGTTGCTTCGCAGGAACGGACATCAAGCACGTGATAAAAGGTGTCTTCGAATGCGGTAGTCAGTACCACTATACTATGGAAACTCAGTCCTGCGTTTGCATCCCTGTGGAGGATGGTATGGACATCTATCCGGCGACACAGTGGATCGATCTCATTCAAGTATCGATCGCACAATGCCTCGATGTCAAGAATAATAGGTGAGTCATTAATCTCTCTCTCTCTCTCTCTCTCTCTCTCTTTCTCTCTCTCTCTCTCTCTCTCTCTCTCTATCGACCGCTTCATAGAACAGCTTCGTACCAACCGTCTCATGAGTGATAGTGTAATTAATAACGCAGGAAATTCAGATCTCTCCGTGCATAAAGAGAAGCTCACACTCTCTCACAGCCATTTTCTCATCGAAAACCTTCATTCGGGATTCGTCTACGACCTTGACCCCTGATAGCGAGGGTAGACGTTATTAACATAAGTTCCATTTCGACAGCATCAACATCAGCGTGAAACGAATCGGCGGTGGATACGGGGCGAAGATTTCGCGAAACATGCAGGTCGCGTGTGCTTGCGCCCTGGTGTGTCATAAGCTGAATCGCCCGGCGCGATTCGTCCTGTCGATCGAGAGCAACATAATGTCGGCGGGCAAGAGATGCGCCTCGCGCCAAGAGTACGAGGTCGGCGTGGACGATAACGGAGTGATACAGTATTTGAATTCCAACAGCTGGAGCAACAGCGGCTGCAGCTTCAATGAGCCTCACTCTTTCCTGGTGGTGCATCATATGGAAAGGTACATATCGAGAGAACACAGCGATATTACGTTATTTAAACAGGGTGTCTTGAAAATACCGGAACCCCCGGATAACTTTGCAGGATCAAGTTTTCATGAAAAGCTTTAAAGACAAAAGTTGTGGAAAATCGAGTAACGGACTTGATGGCGATCTTGAGTTTGACCTTGGCCATGACCTTCAAGGTCATTTGGAGGTCAACTTGCGTTTTTTAAACGGGAACCCTTATTTTTTATTACACTGTTTTTTTCTCTACCAATTAATTTGGACAATTGTTGTCTAAAACATTTTTTTATTTGTCTAATATTTTTTGAGATATTTGCGGAAAACTTGGTAACTTTTTCAACATTTGACTTACGATAACTTCTCGTTAACTATTTGTTGGAAGAAAAATGATACGAGACTTTCTTGCTTTATTTAGTCTGAAGAATATATCGTTGCAAGTAGTGCCCCGATTTTTGTTATTTAATTTGTTATTTATTTTGAAATTTCCAAAAGTCAGTAAGTTAACAAAAGTCAGGGCGCTATTGTAACAATATATTCTTGAGACTAAATAAAGTAAGAAACCATTTTTCTAGTGCCACTTTTTCTTCCGACGAATAGTTAGCGAGATATCGTAAGTTAAATATTGAAAAAGTTATTAAGCTTTCCTCGAATATCTCAAAAAACATTAGGCAAATAGAAAAATGTTTTAGACAAAAGTTGTTCAAATTGGTAGAAGAAAACAGTGCAATAAAAAATAGGGGTTCCCATTTAAAAGACGCAAGTTGACCTCCAAATTATGAACCTATGAAGGTCATGGCTAAGGTCAAATTCAAGGTCACCATCGAGTCCGTTACTCGATTTTCTACAACTTTTGTGTCCAAAGATTTTCATGAAAACTTGATTCTGCAAAGTTATCCGGAGGTTCCGATATTCTTAAGACACCCTGTATATTAAACTTTGACGTTGCCACTCATTCGACGATCCCGTGTAGAACTTGTGCATCTGTTTAAGGACCAATTGTTCCAACTTCGTGGTAAGTTAACTGATAGTTAAATCATATCTCTGTTTTTGTCCAAGTTGAAGGAAAAACGAAGACAAACATATGATTTAACTATCAGTTAACTTAGCAACACCGAAAAAATTTTATTCTACATTATAGAAAAGTAACTAAAGTATAGAGTATTTGTCACTAAAACACGCGCCAAGTATATATTATAAAAAAGAGAGGATTTCCCTCTAATATAAGTATAAGAAAATATTCTAATGAGATATTCTAATAAGAGTTAGAATATCCCTCTAATATGGATAAATAGTAGTAACCTCACAAAAACGTACGTCGAATCCACGTGGAATGCACGTTGTATTCACGTGGCGACACACGCTCGGCTGTTGGATAGACTGTCGACGAGGTTGAGTGTGCATCAGTACTTCTCAGCCAGAAACGGTTTGTCGAACCACCACCACAACATCGACATCGTTTCAACGTTGTTTCGCTATTATTTTGACGAATCATTTCAGTCTAGGTTACGTAATACTCATATACTTTTTCAATAATTCGTACTTACTTTCAAAACGGCAGACTAATTCCGATAAATTATGTAAGCAGCCACCTTTTCACTTCTTCCATGTTTCAGCACTGCATCACTAGATTTCCTAGATCACTAGACTTCCTTCGAAACACGTTCAGGACACGAACGCAATAAAAGCTGCGTAGACTATAGTTTACGCATGCGCGAGCGCGAGTGTCGCGTTCGTCAACCAACTGGCGACGAAATATATATATATATATATATTTTAGAATATTTTCTTTATTTTAGATGTTATTCTAAATAAAAGACTTTTAGAGGGGAATATTCTGAACTTTTTACAATATTCGATTAGAAGAAAGCTTTAGAGGGAATTTTTCTAAAATTAAGAATACGATTTTTTCGCTGAAGAACAATCTGCCCTAAGTCCGTGAGATTTGCGAGTAATCATATGCAGACTCATGGAAGAGCGCGTCTCCCGGGGATTTTGCTTCGTTGCGACGGGGTTAATCGACAGTAGCAAATAAATGCAATTGACGATGCATATTCACCCCCTCCCCCCTCCTCCGTTTGACTTTCTGTCGACTATAATTTGTTGCACGCGATTGGTTACGTTTTGCGCGTAAATCAGTGAAACGCCAGCGATATTAATTTCAATATGGCATGTTGAATGACCGTCGGTCACCGGTGACCACCATGACAGTCAACGTGCCGTATTATAACACTCCATTGAATACAATATTAGATTAATGATCATACCAATGCATGTCATCGGCAGTTGTTATACAAGCGACACTTGGACGTGCAACGGATACGACACGCGGACCGATCTGCCGTCGAATACATTTTGCCGAGCGCCGGGATCCACGGAGGCAATGGCCATGATTGAGCACATAATGGAGCACATCGCGAGAGTGACGAAGAAGGACCCGGTGCAGGTCAGACTGCTGAACATGCAAAGCGAGCATAAGTCTGTGTTAGAAACGATGATAAAGGACCTGACAAAATCGGCCGATTACGAGATGAGGAAGCGGGTCGTTGAAACGTTCAACAACGAAAACCGTTGGAAGAAGAAGGGAATCGCCCTGGTGACGATGCAGTACCCTCTCTTCTACTATGGTCAGTTCAACGCTGTGGTGTCGATTTGTGCACGTGACGGCACGGTCTGTGTCACACACGGTGGCATCGAGTGCGGCCAAGGCATCAATACCAAGGTACAGCTTCGCGAGTAAACTTGCGGGAACGATCGCATCGAGCATGTCGATTCGTCGAGGGGGACCTTATACAAGGTGGTGGCATACGTAAAGCTTAATAATTTGATATCCTGAGAACTACGTTCATCGATCAGCCCCTTAAACACTTTTCCTGAAATTTTATAGATTTCAGGAAGACTCAAGACTTAGCTTCGTTCATTCCTCTTTGTGAGAGTAAGGAAAGAATAATTTTAAAATAAAAACATATACATATTCACGGCATGATACAGTTTGATTCGCTGGAGTAAAAAATATCGTAACGTACGTCGAGCAAAATTCCAATGATGTGAGGCGGTGTGGACAAATATTTGACCTGATTGCCGCGGATCCATCACGGATTTGTTTCCGATGTTTTTGTGAAACGTTCACAAAAGGCAGAAACTGAATCCACACACAAGCAAAATTCTCTTAGAATTCTCTGTTGGTCTAATTGTTAAGTCGGCTTGTGTGAACCACCATATATTCCATTATAATTTATCATTATTTTTAATTTCAACATTATTTTTAAAATCACTAATATATATCTTTTCTTTCTTCAGGTCGCTCAAGTGGTAGCATACACGCTGGGGATCGATCTAAGCTTAGTCAGCGTCAAAACCACTAATAATATATTAACACCTAATAATTCGGTTACCGGAGGCAGTGTTACCAGCGAGAGTTCTGCAATGGTAAGACTTCTAATGGTTCAAATCCCAACTCCGGGAAGGAAGGATAGCGTGGCGCGTATATAATTTCAGCTTTAGAACTAACACGCTAATTTCACGTCAGGCCGCAAGAATCGCATGCCAACAGCTCTTGGACAGACTCGAGCCGATTAAAAAGGAAATGAAAGATCCGAGCTGGCCAGAACTTGTTCTGCAGGCGCACTTAAAGGACGTCGACTTATGCGCGCGTAACATGTAAGTGTACACATCAGTAGTAATACGTTAAATTATATTGACAATAGAGCGACAATAGAGAGATGGAATTCAATATTTGGCATACGATTGCGAATAAAGGAGAGAGAGAGAGAGAGAGAGAGAGAGAGAGAGAGACTTTCGACTCTGAAGAAAAATAAGCGTCCGAGAGCCGTCGTCGGGTATTGGCCGCGATAATTAAAATGTAACAACGGGAGGATATGATCATTCATGTCGATTCTCCTCGGACTTCCTACGTACCGCAAGTTTCTAATTAGAAACACATCACCGCGCAGAGACGCTAATTTGCTTAATATTCCAAAAATTGATTACATCGCGATATCTTCATCATTACTTGTAATCACTTGTGGGAAACTTTCTTAATATGTTCTCGATAATTTGTAAATATCTGCGCATCCTCGCGGGAAGGACGTGTCGCCCCAGCAAACACAATATTATATGTAACGTGCATGTTAATTGTGTCAACAATGTGTCGCAAATGCTCGAAAGTTTTTCTCACTTACCTCGTTCTTGACCGTCTCGACAGGTTAGTACCTCCGAAAGATTTACAAGGCTATGCAATTTATGGCGTCACCATCGCCGAGGTCGAAGTAGATATGTTGACCGGACAGCATGTGGTTAATAGAGTAGACTTAACAGAGGATGTTGGTATAAGCCTGAATCCGGAGGTCGACATCGGCCAAATTGAGGGAGCTTTCGTGATGGGGATGGGATACTGGACTTCCGAGGATTTGGTCTACGATCCTAAAACAGGATCGTTGTTGACTAACAGAACTTGGGTATGTTGGGTTTGATTAATAGGATACGTTACATAACAGCAACGCTAAAATGTGACGAACGCGCGGACCTTCCGTTGTACGTCCGTTTCTTAAGACGAATGCGTTCGTAAGATCGATGCGTGCCATGAGTGAGTTTGATTCCCGTCGTAGAACTATAAGCCACCAGGAGCGAAGGATATTCCCGTCGACTTCCGTGTAAGCTTCCGCAAGAACGCCGCCAACAAATTCGGTGTCCTCCGTTCGAAAGGTAAGTTTGATCATTCTGTCGATTCGAGTGTGAATACCATTTTCTTCCTCCACAATATCGCGCGCAATTTAAGAGTGAAAACTTTTCTATAATGCTCAAATTCGTATTTCGATAAGTGACAATTAAAAAACGAACAAAATTAAGTCTAACAGCCGCGAGAAGATAACACGTGTGATTGTGAGATGTTTTTTGAAAGTTATAATACAAAATTCAAAGAGAAATCTATCTACTGCGAAAGAGACGACAGATTTGAAAAGATTGAAGGATCCATCGGTTAATTCACACATTGTTAAGAAAAAAACGTTCTTTCACAGCCACCGGGGAACCACCGCTTTGCATGACCTGTGTAATTCCGTTTGCGATACGTAAAGCATTGGATTCCGCCAGAGCAGACAGCGGAAATACGGATGTTTGGTATCGATTAGGTGAGTTCTGCGTATGGCAGCACAAGTAATTGTACGTTCGAACAATATATGACGATCCGTCTCTCTTTGTTGATCCGGACTGATCTCTCTACTCTTTGCAACAAGGGGAAAAATTTAACTGATATTGCGCGGTTTCAACCATATCATTAATCGTCTACTCGTGCTTCGGTTACACACGTTTCGTTTCTTCTCTTCTCTCTCTCTCTCTCTCTCTCTCTCTTTCTCTCTCATTGAAATCCTAACCATTGAGGTTATTCGTATCAAGTTTCTTTGTCGTGCCAAGTCGTGCGATGAGCGTCTATAACAATCTCCAGTTTCGGCAAAGATAGGAAAAGAAAATTAAAATTTAGAATCAATAGTCGTAGAATCAAGCGACTCTATAAATTCCCATAACGTGTATTATTATAACACATATTCACTCATCATTCGTAATCTTCGCAGATGGACCACTGACTACGGAGCGAATACTCATGAACAGTTTGACCAGCAAAGACAATATGGTGCTCTGAATGAACGCGATATGCATTCGAGAACGGTGTTTGCGGAATCGATTTCTCTACTTGCTACATATCGCTCTTATCTCTCTCTGTAATAATTTAATCGTCTTCCTTAACCGAAATAACCAAGCAAGCTTTTGCACACAGTGCCGTCTTTGCGCCGCTGATGTGCGACGTGATCTTTCAGGTAATCAAGATCGACTCACTATAGTTAAGAATTAATTTGAGCTCTTAATACAAGAAGCGCACACACATACATAACGTGTATTATGGTAAATAATTTCAATAAATATTCTATTAAACGCCATTGATGTGCTACATAGTAAATATTACAACAACATATCTGCGGTGTGTATATTGATATTAATGATATAATATAATGTAAAGTAGTCGTAAATAATAAATTGTAAATAATCAAGGTATGTACGAGCATATACCAAGTATATACTTTTCTCGAGAGAATCTACAGCATACGATTACCACGTACAGACATCATCGTTAAACGTCGACGCTTGAATTTGCACTTGGGGATGGTGGGCCGAAGAGGGGGGCGGGCAGGTGGGAGGCGGTGAAGGGGAGAAATGGAACGAAACGAGGTAACGGCATGATGAGTGTGATTCGTAAAATTAAATACATGTAGCCGCGCTAGCGCAGCGCGGCGTGACGCTCTCCGCGAAGAGTGGAGTAGAAACGCTTCCTGGAATGTAGTTCCGCGGCCACGCCACTTTCAACACGTCCTGTTTGCGCGGAAAAATGTACATCACCCGCGCATCTTGCGCGCAAAAAAGGAAAGCACGCTGAATGCTTAATTGTACTCGCGCGCGCGCGCGCGAGCGTTCTTGAACAATTAAAAGTTGTGAACGCATAAGGTGAATACCCCAATTAGCGATAATTTCTTCTTAAAAAATCAGCTCATGCTAAATTCATGTCCATGCTAAATACGTTTATTTATTATTCGTGCTTTCATTCTCGTGATGATAATCGTTTCCGGGGAACTTTGTATATTTTGAGTTGTAATAAATTTCGAGTGAAATTAAAAGCTGTAGCAAATGCTGGAATTATAATAACAAGCGTACTGCTAACGGCGGCAGGTTCGGACAATTAATCAGTATTATTACAATGGATTTAAAATCTTTCTGCAAATTAGAGAAATATAATTAGTACCTGAAATGTTGAAACTTTGCGAGCGAAATGTTCAACAAAACGTTGTAGTCAATAAAAAATGTTCAACAAAATCGACGCTGTATACATAGTTTAACGCGTACATTCTTAATTTATTAATTTATTTTCACAGTGGGATTATTTATTCGCTAATTGGGACGTTCACCTTAATAACGAATATATATCGAGCGTGAACCGAAGAACCGGTATAATTTCGGCAAAATCAATCTTCGATCTTGCGGTAATGTGCAAAGGTGCTTCCTTTCATCACATTTTGTGTGATAAATATGTATGTATATATGTATACACACACACACACACATATATATATATATGTATATAATTTTTTATACTGTCATTATCTCTCTTTCTCTTTGTGTGCTTGCAGCGTCGGAATCCAAATCAAATTATCTCCGCAATCAGATCGGTTTCTTCGCCTGTGATAAATAGTTGCGCAATGCCAGAGAGTCTCACAATGATCTTCGTATCACGTACTTTGTCTATTTTTATCGTCTTTATCATTGACCGTTCTCATAACGTGATAATCATTTCCAGGGTACGAATGTAGCGTATGGAGAACGTTCTCTCAAGCCGAAGCTGCAACTTCGTCTCCTCGTCTCTGTGTGTATGTATGCGTATTTATTTATTTATTTATTTATTTATATATATATATATATATATATGTACATACATACATACATACACGTGCATATATACACACCTCTCTCTTCCTCCCTAAACTCCATTCGCTAATCCGATAACGTCGCGAGCTACCTTACACGCCGGGTTTACGATAAAAAGTAGAACGGTCCCTTTCGTTATTGTTTTGAACGGAGAAGTGATATTTTTCGCTTTTCGTTCTTGATCGTCAAGCAAGAACGCGGTGTAGTCGTGCGAGAAAGCAGGCGAATGTGATGACTATAGCTTTGACTTGGACGAAACATTAGCGAAACAAAAGGATGCGCACATTCAGAGATATAACGTCACACAGCGAACGACAGAATCGCATTGGTCACGGTATGCGCACTTCTGCGCACGCACGAATTTCTCCGAACCGCGGGATGTTCTTTCAGAAATCTTTCGCACCCAATGTCAAATGCGCTGGCAAAGCCGGAGGCCTCAAAGTGAGAGATTTTCATCAAGGTAGAATTCTGTGAAAAATTGGCCAAGCGGTCAAGAATCTTCCTTATTCCTGATTCCTCAATAATGAGTTTCGTTACACTTTTACAACGTAACAACCGACGCTCAGGTAAGTCTCTTCTCTTACATTATCCGTTATCTTCGACGTGGTGCAAATTCGTTAACCACCGAGACGACGTTGAAACAGCGATCGTTTTCTTCAGAGATAATTTGCCCGCCTCTGGTCCTTGAAAGATCCTTGAAAGAACGTCCCATGTGGCTCTCCACGCGCGCGCAAGGTATACACACGCATACACAAACACGCGCGAGCGCACGTTAGTTACTTAAAGGATTGATAATAAAAATAATTCGATTAAACTATCTAGCTACGCTTTAAACTTATCGCGCTCGATTGATATCTCACTCGACACAGTCCCGTCCAAATCGCGATCATTTAGTCGCCACTCGGTCATATTTCGCATGCCAACACATGGCTACATATATATATATTTTTTTATATTTATATATCATCTTTTTTGCACTATCTATCTATATCTATATATATCCATATACATATATATATATATATATATATATATATACACATATATATACGGATCTCTACGTATATTCCTTCTTCTTTTTTCCCCTATTACAGCGAAGACTATATGCTGATTTGCATATGTGTATACCTTAAAGTAAATATACGTCGCCAAAGATATTCTCTCTCTTTCTCGCTCTCGCTCTCTGACACCACTGATTACCGCTTTATCTTTCCTCTCTCTTCTTTATCTTCTTCCTCTCTCACGACATTTGTACAACGAGAAGGCATTGTCGGCTCGTCATTGCGCGCTCACGATGCCGGATCGCTGCTATTAAATTTAACCGGTGACGGCACCCGGTAAGGTCATCGCGTGTGTACGTGCATAATAACCGGGGCCACTTTAACGATCGATGATAATATTATACATAGCGGATTACGCATACATACATGTAACATCATAACACGTTTTACGAGAGATATAACTCTCTCTCTCTCTCTCTCTCTCTCTCTCTCTCTCTCTCTCTCTCTCTCTCTCTCTCTCTCTCTCTCTTTCTCGTTACCGCGCGCGCATTCGCGCTTGTATTCCAAATGCATCGATTACGCCGTGTATATGTATGTATGTGTATGTGTGTTGTGCGTGTGTGTATCTGTGTTATATATGTCACGATCAAGACGATACATCCTCGCAACATCGACTTACCAGCCAGAGAGTCAATTTATAGCGTGAATCGAATCTGGACGACGGTTCGCACCTACTGTGTGTGTGTGTGTGTGTGGGTGTGGGTGTACATACATATACATATATATGAGAGCGTAAGCGCGCGCACATATGCACGTATATGTACATTTGATACACATGCAAGCATAGACAGTACGAGATTACGTTAAAACTAAATAACAGTAAAGCTTTCTTCCGAAAACCCCGAAATCTTCCCGGGGTGAACGCAAGCGCGACAAGCCGTTCTTGGAGCAACAAGGCATTCTATCTTAAATCGCGATAAAAACTCGTCGGGAGTACGATTCGTGCGACGAGGCCGACGCCGATTTTTTCGCTCCTCCTCTCTTCTTCTCTCGCTCCTTCATTTACAATTGATTGCTATTGGTATCGATTTAGTTCGTCTCGGGCTGATCGACTATCTAAACCTCGATAAATAAGAGCCCTTCGACAAATCTTAATAATGTACAGTATCCCTTATGTGGCCGAGAGAGGCTGTTTTACATGGAATAGCGGGTAAGAGGTTTGCGAGACGGTATTCAACTAGTTTTACAGTGAGAGAAGTAGTAGAATACAGCTGGATCTCATTTATATCTCCCTAACGTAATAATATATACGTAATATTGTCCTGTTATGCTCGGCCACCGGTAGCTTCAAGCGATGCCGGCCGCGAGAGCTCCCTCTCCGCAGAAGAGGCAAAGGAAAGGGATCGATCAGAGAAAACGTGAAAACGTTAATGTAAGATCACAGTGAGAAGAGGAGGGCCAATTAGAGTCTAAAGTCGCTGTTACGAAGGATAAATATATGTGTGTAGTAACTTTAAATATATTACAAAAGAGAAAACAATGAGCAGCGATTCAACCTCGATCCGCAAAAACGGCCGAAGTCGGTGTGCCGAAAAAATTCGCTACGTGTGTGTGATGTATGTTACAATTTGTGTATCGATGTGGCTACGCCACGGTGAAAAAAATCTCTCCCTAAATACATATATATATCTACACGAACAAAACTCCCGCATGCAAGTTTTGCGAAAAATTTACAATGAAATCCCCCTTACTTACTCGACGAGTAATAATAAAGTAACAGTAATAATAAACAGTATCAATGATGTGTGATCGTCGCCGCTCGCGTCACCGTCCCAGAGCTACCGGCGACCCATTAAGAGAACTCGCACGATCTCTGCGGTCGCGAAGCTCGACCTTTAGCTACCGATTTATACAGACTAACTCTCCACGGGTCGGTTACGCTCATAGAGAGGATCCTGTGAGTTCGTAGTATCATACAAAAATACGTCCGACTACGAAGAACGACTGTGTGTGTGTGTGTGTGTGTGTGTGTGTGTGTGTGTGTGTGAAATCAATCGGGCGACTCAAGAACGGAAATGTACATCGACGGAAGGGAAGCGAAGCGTTTCGTTGATACGAGAGAGCTCGACGATATATATCTGGCACTCGCTTCCTCCGCTTCATCCGCTTTACGACGCCGCTTTCGCGCGTTAACCTTTCTCACTTTTCAACCGGCTTCAACCGGTAAAACGTACTCGTTTCCACTCGACTATTCGGAACAATTTCTTTTACTTATCCTATCAATATCAATATGTACACACACGCACGCGCCCAGGCACGTGCATTTTTTTTGGCGAGACAGTTCGAACACTTTTCGCGCGAAGTTAGGGGCGCGATAAATTGCGTGCCACTACTCGCTGAGCTTGCACATTGATTCGTGATAAGAATTGAAGTGACGATATATACAACATCCGACGTTACATCTGCATGTACGAAGGATTCAGGAAAAACGCAAGTATCTTTTATTACATTTTTATCCATTAGATAAAAATATATAGATATAATATAGATATTGGAAGGGCGAATATACTCGCGCCGTGTACGATGAATTTCAAAGCAGTTTAAACATTTTCTCGTACAACTCGGGACGCAGCGTATGCCTAATAAGAGACCTTATTTCCGAAAATTTTCCAGAAACAAGTTCGCTTTCATTGAGTCATGGGCTGCGATTGAAAAAAATATTTAGACTATTTCAAAACCCAATGTATCGTTACTTTAACTCCTGTCGTGACCGATTATCAGACAAACCCGACGAGCAATTGTGAGCATTTTATGCGCTTCTAACTTTGAAAGAAAACGCCCATACCGTTTCACAAACAACTGCACGTACGCGCACACACATAATGAAACACATACATATGCTAATAAAACTAAAGATATCGACGACAAGGACAGTGAGAAAGGTTAATAGAGTGTGGTCTTAAATCGCGGTAGAAAATATTCTGCGTAGCACTCGAGAAGTCATGATCGGCGGTTCAGAAATTCAATACTTACATCAGCTACTGTCTCGACGGCTCGATTCTACCAGCGTCGTTCGGCCACTGTGGGCCAATTAAGTCGTTAATTAGTCGAATGCCTCATTCGCCATGCGCGTTACGCAGATCCGAGGGGAACCGAAAGAAATCATCGCAGCGGCGGCCAGACAACGTTGGTAGAGTCGACCTTTTCAGTCCACGACGTAGCGTTGCAAAGGAATAGATAGAAGAATCGGAAAGAAAAAAAGTTTATAGACAATACTAAGCGAGATCGCGAGTAATCGTGCGCCCCGTCCGCGATCAACAGCCGGGCCGATTGATATAAGCGAGTCCCATTGATTGACGCGAGACCTCGACGGTGATACTTTTGAACACGCCCTTTGACGAAATAACTGAAGGTCGTTCGTCGTAATCCGCGAGAATATCGCGTTCGCCTCGTTTGTTGCGATTCTTCAGCAACGAATCTCTATATAGACTAGCACTGCATATGCTGCTAATCGCCAACGAATTCCTTTTCTTTCTTTACCTCCGTACACGGCGATTCTTTCCTCTTTCCATTGTCTCTACATGAACTAACGCTCACTCGAAGCAGTCGCGGCGTACAGATTTGCCCGGGTGAGACGGGTAAATCGCGGTTACAAATGACCAATCGGCACAAGCTACGATTCCAGACGACAGATTTTCGTTTTCGTACAACGACAATAATGCTACGATAATGACGGGGGAATCGAGCGTATACATCGACAAATCTCAAACGGAACGGGATATTGACTGTATTATATAGTACTGTGCTTGAATCGTAGGTTTATATCATACTCGTCATTATATATGAACGTCGTAGTCTTAATTTGTTTATATATATACATATACATACATACATATATATATATGTATATACCTCGTTTTAATCTACCTGATTACGATATCTTTGAATAGTACGGATAAAGAACATTTAACGAATCCATCTACTCGTTTCATTGTCTTTCTCTCGCGATGTATATATGTGTTTAATATGTATGTGTGTGTGTGTGTGTGTGTGTGTGTGTGTGTGTGTGTGTGTGTGTGTGTGTGTGTGCGCGCGCGCGCGCGCGCGCGTGCGTGTGTATTTGATAATTATCGCGCGTGTATATCTTTATTGTTTCATTTAATACTTCGAAAGGAAGCATCGAAATTCTCTCTCAAGTCAAATCCATACATTCGCAGAACAATATGTGCATGCGTGTTTGTTTACGTACGTAACGTACACGCGCGCAAACACACACACACACACACACACACATACACACACATACACACACACACACACACACACACACACATTCTGTGAGGACTGTTCTTTTTAGCTGAACTTAGTTAGCTAGAACCTCGTTCTTCTTCTTCTCAACGTTAGACCACATGCTTATTTCATTTTGACGGGGCAAAGAGTACAACCCAGTTCAGCTAAAAGACAAAAAGACAGACCTGTATATGTGTGTATATATATGACAACGAGGATATATATATCCGAAAAATCTATCTCGATATTTTTACTCTGCTTTGCACTTATTAAACGGTTTCGCGTTACAGCGGATATTGGTACGTGCAATCGTCGTCTAACGTATAACTCTAACGCGATTACGTTTAGAACCGTGACGAACCACCGGAATCTCCCCTTGCGTCGCACCCTTAACGCACCCTTAACGATATTACAAGCGACCCCTCTGCGACAACTAAACGTACCTAAATATCGCTACATCGTAATTACGGAGATCCTCCGTTGAACCTAGAAATGCATCTTCTCAACAAGCTTACCCGATATCAACGAAGAATAGTTCACGCGCGCTGCTAATTGCCACATCCGATCACTCAGTTCACTGTCCATTTTCACGGCACGAGCCTTCACGGAATCACTGGATCCGCACTCGCGTGTTCGTGTCATTCTAAACGCAATGCGTTCGCGAACAACTCTTGTCTGTCTAAACTGAGTCGTGCCCGGCTACGGATTTCAGGATGAGAAAACCACCCTTGACTACAGTACGATTCCCATGAACATTGGCTGGAATATTTAATGAAGGCTCAATCGCTCTCTCTTCTTTTATCTTCCCACTCACCGCTCCATTCATTTATCCTCTCTTTCCCTTTTTTCAGCTTATGCCTGATAAAATCTCCAAGACAAGGATTTTCGCTGAGAAACGCCAGTTTACTTTAACCAAATCAGTTCATGGGAACGACGCTTTATCGGAATAGTAACGCGTGTTACATACTCGGCAAGCACACACATATATGTATATGTATAAATTTATATATACACACATATATATGTGTGTGTGTGTATATGTATTATTATTATTATATATATATATATATATATAAAGTATGATACAGTTGCCGATCGTGTATTCACAATGTGACGGTTCATGTGAGATTTAATGATCCAAGATTGATCGGGCCCACGTCTAACGGAAATAAGCGGGAATAAATCATGTGTGTTTTGTTTTCTTTTCTAGGCATATTACACAACGATATTTACAAAACGTCGCTCCGTCTTCTTAGTTCCATTTTGAATCCTGGAACAGTTAAATTGATATTTGCTTTAGTACCGCGCGCAATGTTACGTTTCCGCAGTGTAACATCGTTCGCAATTCAATTTATTTCTTCAGCTATGTACTAACGATCGATATTTATACGATGTACCAAATTTTCATACAACGTACTCGTTTTGCAAGCAACATCGATCAGATTAATGACGTGATGCTGCGTGATAATAGAAAAAAAAAAATGATGTAGAAAATGTGAAAAGGTGTTATTAGTAACATAGAGTGGTCGGTAAGAGTTACCTAAAGTAGACTCGTGAAGTGATCGACGACTCAAAAATCGATCGGCGTCACAAATGTTACGTCGCACTTATTATTAATCACAGATGTATAAGTCACAGAGATTATATGTACATTATATTACCACGGCTCCAGAGAGTGACACCCATTGAGAGAAATCGTTCGAAAAGGAATATAAAGATCGCTTGTACAAGGGCTGAGGCTGTACAACTACTACTACTATATTTAGTGACTCCACTAATTATACACACACATATATATATACATACATACATATATATATATGTACATACATACATATATACACATATATATATACATACATACATATATATATGTACATACATACATATATACACATATATACATACATACATACATATATATATATATATTAACATACCACGCATCAAGTAAAATCATAAGGACTATATGATACAACTTACTATAGAAAACTCATTGGGTCTCGTAATCTTCGCGTATATTGTCTCTGCGCTTTGCAATCGTGAAGATTGTGATCAGAGTCTCTCATTTTCAAAATGCAATTCCCACAACAGAGTTACTGTAGCAATAGCAAATTTTCTTCCACAAGTGGGAATATTGTAAGTGCGGTAAAAATTATACGGATCCAATACGTGACTGAGCAAAATTACCGCCGGCCGTTGATCAAGAAAAGCTCAACTTGTATCGCGAGAGAGAACACGCTGTCGCGTTCCGTCGTGTTTCGAGCATTGCGAATCACATCGGCATTGTCGCGTCATCACGATTAATCGACACACGTCGTATCCCCGTGTCATACACAGGTCATCACATCCTACTGTAGTACGTTACTCCTCGAGATCCATCGACTCAAGCGCGCAGAATGCTAAATGAGGAAATAGGTACCTAATCCCTTCACAGAGCACCAAACGGATCGAGCTGGACAGCATTGCCTTGTGGCTGAGCTGCTGCTTGAGGATGCTGCTGCTGCAGGTTAGGACCCATCATGGGATTCGCACCGGCCATTTGCATCATGGGTGCAGTTCCTCCCGCAACCATCATACCGCTACCGGCGGCGGAAGCACCTGGGATAGTACACATCATCGGCCTCATACCCTGCATACCCTGCATGCCCTGTATGCCCATCGGTATACCTTGCATACCCTACAGACACCAGAGAGCGAGAGAATGAGATGTATATACAATAGAAAGCGTGTGCCTTTCGAAATAACGCTTTTCTTAAGGTAAGAGAACGGAAGACCGATCGACTGTGCCGTTTAGATCAAAAGTCGCACGGTGGTTGAAAAGGAGAAAGAAATATATCGCATTAATCGTCCGAAACGATTGCGCATTGACTCCAAGTCGAAGTGAGCTAAGATAAGAAATTAATTTTTATAAAAGTAAGCACCAACAACGCTGATAATCGAGCGAAATCTCAGCGCGATACGAGAAAGTATATTATAAATTATAAACCGAGGTAAAAGATGCGTTAAATGTAATGAAAACACTTTACAAGCGTCCCTTGCCTCTTTTGTTTCCTTCAGACATTCCCGACGTGTTCTCGCGTGCTTACTTTTTCCTCGGCCAACCCCGCTTGTAGATCATTTTCCCAACTGATCTGACAATTTTTATCGCGCGCGCACGCGGATTCTCTCACGGAAAATATGATACTTCATTTATCCTATGTGTTACCTGTGTATCATGTCATCACACGAACGCTTTTATGTCTATCTATCTATGTGACTTTCATCTACGTTTCATCTAGCTTAAACTAAAATATCTCAAGCGAACAATAGCCAAGGACGTACGAACAACGAGAGAGATCTCAAACCAGTCTGCAGGAGAGCGTAAAGATAAATCGTCTGCGATCAAGTATCCGTCCACTACATTCTCAAGTCGTGCGCCAGCGGTGTACATGTCGATGCAATAAGCACACAATGCACAAGAAACGCAATGAGGTGTCGGAGTGGAGGCGACTCGCCACTTCGCCTCGGATGGTAGAAGACCGAGATCGGTATGCAATTTACAATGGATGTCATTATTGACAAGGTGAGTTAGTGACAATACGTGTTATCGCACGCCGCACTCGCGTAGGCTGCGGCGAGTTTGGCGTTGCGTCGTCGCGCCGACGTTCATCATGCGTCTCACCAGAGTAAGGATGCGTCGTGATTGTAGGACTTACCATCATTGTGGGCTGTGTGGGAAACCCCATGGTCGTGGTGGTCGGTAGCAGCTGCGTCATCCCTTGGCCCTGTAACATCCGGTAACATGCCATATGCCATGCATGCAACACTCACCCAAAAGGGACGCTAATTGACGGGGAAAGTGTCGTTACGGTATTGCGAAGAGCGCGGAGGAGTCCCACGACGCTGCGGCTTAGTGGAAAACTTGCGCACATGTATCATCGGAGATCTACGTGTGTTTGTGTAGATATAAGAAAGAGGGACAGAGCCGAAGCCACGCAGATACACTACGCGCGCTTCGTCAACGTCGTCGTGCCGATGTCGTGCTAAAGCGGTAATTACTTACAAAAGAGTTTGCACCTCACGGAACGTATCATACAGACTCGTTTTAAACGCCTACCTGTGGTATCTCGAAAGAAATGCATCATTGGACGAAGTGTTTCAGACAAAAGCCTGAACAAGGTCAGACCAAGGTCCTATTTTACGTTCTATTGCCTCCTTAAAACCAAGCGACTTTTTTCTGAAACATTTTTCCACTGATGCACCTATTGAGAGAAATTTTCAGGCGAACATTTAAAATAGGTCATTTTGTACATATCACAGAAAGTTATGTGTGTATATGTGTGTGTGTGTGTGTGTGTATGCATGCATGCTGAGTCACCTGCGCTCTGCAACCAGTCGGAGTTAGTGAATTTAGCTCCGGAGATATCGACCGCTTTAAAGCATCGCAATTTTGTGTAAAAGTATCGCTTCATTATGCTCGAATCCAACCAAACGTGTGACTTTTGCGCACGCGGCTTTTTGCCCTCTGTAATAATGTACGTTCAAAAATCAAGCTGTGATCCGTGAGGTGTAATTCTTTTTATGAATAATTACCGCTTAAAACGATTCACTGGCCCGCGCGACCGACAAGGAACTCTGACGTCTCCTTCGCGAAATAGCGCTCAATCGAATGTGGGATGTGAACGAGATGAAAATGCCACTGCTACGAGAAGAGTCAATGAACTAAGGTGTTACGTAACATTTAAAAAATCTAAGTATGTCTAAGTCACGGTGTGTAAAAATAACTACAGCTTCCTTATCGGAAACGACAAGGCAGATCGCTTCAACAATGATGTAATGATCTGCGCACAGCAACGACAGCGAATAATAATACGTGCGCTCGCCTGTCCGTATCTGTGTCTGCGTTCATGTCTACGGTGTATTGATAATCGGAAGAAACGTGCTGCGACGATACTCTGTAACGATAACAAGACCGAGAAAAGAAAAGTCGGGGCTCACCATGGGTCGATATCCAGCACCAGTCGTAGCTGCCATTGGTTGCGGTGACCATCCAGCTGGACCGCCCGTTTTCGCGGCGTTCTTCGGAGAGTTCCATTGCATTCCCCTGAAGAGAAAGAGAAAGAGAGAGAGAGAGAGAGAGAGAGAGGAGTACTCGTTGTTCAACATCACGTTAACGATCACGTTTTACAACAGTCGACTTTGCAACTGACGATTCATCGTCAGTTTACCGTCAACGTTTTACAGGCGTGACATCAGCGAGATTTACGAAATTGAATTTCTATATTCGGAATTAAAGTTATTCACGTACAAAGATATGTTCTCAAACACTCACTTGACTTGCTGCTGAGCGCTCTTATTAATCGTCAAGTTCTGCGCAAGGCTGGCGAGGCTACTGTCCAAATCTCCGGTCAGGACCTTGCCGGTGCCGGCCGCCGCATTGCCGATCGGTTGCCCCGCGGCTGAAACATTGTTAGCTCGGGATACAGTTGCAAATACATCAACGCCAACTCCCCGCCCCCTCTTCTCAAACTGTCAAATCCCAAGCAACATCTACATCAAGTGGAACATCGACTACGGTGGAACCCGCGTGGGAACTCGAAGCGAATCGTGTAACTAATTCGTATAATTACGGGATCCAACGCAAGATAACATATTTTCGTAACGAAGAAAGAAAAGAACTGAACAAACGAAACGACAAACAACACCCGGCAGACTTTCAACGAGGGGGAGCAGCCGTCGTCGAAAGGTGTCTACGTGACCACAGCGTGCAGCAACAAAATTACGCAGAGATCTCTGTGTTTTTCTACGTCGTACGTCGTACAATTAGTCACGCGAATAACACAGCACATGCACAGCACGTCGTAGGTCAATTGAATCGTACGTCCCCGTGAGAGAAAAATAAGATAACCAGGGGAGGTTATCGCGCTATGTTCTCACCACTACAAGTCTCAGCTACACTGTACTCCCGTGATTTTTACAACGTCCGGGTGTAACCGGGCTGAACAACGCTGAACTACGAATGCTGAATCAAGATTGTCTCGCATCTTGTCGCGTGCTTGAAATCATAGGCGGCACTTCGCTTGCCGGGCTAGCGAGCGAGCGATGCGATACAAACCGAACGTGAAGTGCAAAGATTCGTGCTAAGGAACAAAGAGGAAACAGCAGGGCCGGTGCAAGGGGCCGGGGAAGGGCAGGAGTGGCAGAAAAGAAAAGAAGAAAACGAAACCTGGGGGTGGATTCACGGATTGAGAGGCAGAGGAGAAAAGGGAGAGGAGCAGAGGTGCGAGAGTCTCATGCAATTAGCGTGACTAATTGGGGGCATTCCCGTCACCTGACATGGCTTGCTTTGCCGGCGAGCCGTACCCCACGGGGACTTGGGCTTGGGTAGGGATACCATAGCCGACTATCGGGCCACCGGGCATGCTCATGGGTTGCTCAGTGGCGTCGTCCGGGTTACACGCGAACATACCGCCCGCCGACTGTGGCGGCATGCGTCGTTGCTGCGGCGGCGGCGGCTGTTGTTGGGCCGCGAGGCCGGCGGCTTGTTGTTGTTGTTGTTGCTGCTGTTGCTGGGCCAGTGGTGCCGGACGCGACGGAGACCCACCCAGTGCCATGCGGATACTGTCGTTGAGATCGTCAAAGGCGCTCTTGCCCGGGGCTGAACCGGCGGCGGCGTTCGCCGCCGCCGCCGCCGTAATCGCCGATGCAGTCGCCGACGCCGCCGCTGGCCTACCATGTGACGCTCCGCCGACGCACGTCGGTGACAGTGTACGCGGTGCGCCATTCGCGGCGGTCGCGGGTGGCGGTGGTCTAGGTGGCGGCGTGGCAGTGGACGATGGCTTGCCGGCGGCAGGAGGCGCCGCCGCCATCACGTCGGCCGCGGCGTCTCCGTCACTGCCGTTCGCGGCCCTCAGCATCGCGGTGGACTCGGCCCCGAAGAGATCCGCCTGACCACCGCCGGCACTGAAGAGGTCTCCGCCTTGCGCCGCCGCCGCTTGTGCCGGCTCGTTTATCGCGCCGCCAACAACAACGCCGCCAGCGGCCTGCTCGAACAGCCCGAAGGCGCCCGCGCCCGCGCCCGTTGCCTGACCGCTGCCACCCACGGACGGAAAATCGGACATGAAGGGATTAGGTACGGACGCGGCCGTTCCTGGGGCGCCAGCTTGCGCAGAGAAAGTGATCGGGGTGCATAAGTTAGCTAGTTTCTTCGTCTCCCTTGCGGTCCGGGCGTTGTGAGCAAATGTTACGATACCTTACACGAGATCATTTGCACCGTGACCCGATTAGTTATGTTAGTTAGAGAGATAGATAGATAGAGCGGAATGTGAGAAACTCTTACGTTGCAACGGGCGCAATGTTAACGCGACAACGTTCGTCCGTAGCGTCCGCTTACAAATCGCTTACACTCGCGGAGAGTATACCGAATAATCTCAACGATTACCACGAATGGCGCGCATGGACAGAGCGACTGTTATTCGTCTCGTCTCACTCTGCCATCATTGCGAATCTTACGACACTATCGGCTGCGAATCGCGGAGTCTCTCGCGACCGTGTAATCGCTGTCTCACTCGGTACTTCTCTGCCTATGTAGCGTTAAATCGGCACATGTGATTGCTCAGGCGTACGAAATGTTCAAAAGTAGAAGATGTATGATGCAAAAATATCATAAAAATGGCCGCGGAAGATACACGGACAGAGATGAAAAGAAAAGAAGAGTAAACGACAGAGAGGGGAAACTAAAAAGAAGATGCACAGAATCTGTCTCTGTCTCTCTCTCTCTCTCTCTCTCTCTCTCTCTCTCTCTCTCTCTCTCTCTCTGTGTGTCTCTCTTTCCTCTCTCTCAACTCTGAGTGAGTGAATACGTTCGTTACAGTATCTACAATGATCCCCGCTTAGCTATCTCACGATTAAGATCTCACTTACAAGATTGCTGATCTTGATTTCCAAATACGGAGGAAAAACTGTTATCTGTAACAAAGTTATTATTTGCTGGTGGCGCAGCCGCGAAACCTAAAAAATGGAAAATGGAAGAGAATGAGAAACAAAAGGGAAAAAAAAAATAATCAGATCAAGCGCGGTGACGGAAGAAGCAGCGATGATCACGCGCGAGTATAACGCGACTTAAGTCTCGTGCTCACCATTACCGTTGGTCATCCACATGTTGTTCTGCATCTGAGCGGGTTGCGCGGCCGCGGCCGGTTGCGCCGTCCCGAACATGTTCGCGAACGGGTTACCCGCCAGTTGCAAGAGATCGTCCGACGCCTTTTGCGGCTGTTGCGAGGAGAACAACAGAGCGTGAGTTTCAGCTGTCTCAAGTCGGAGTCGCATTAACATCAAACCACCGAGCGATTGACCGAGAAATGAACGACTTTTCTCATTTTTCCTAAACGTTACTCGAATTTACATATCGATGCATTTTATATTTCTGATGCAACATAAAAAGAAGCAAGTCAACGTCCTTCCTCGCCTCTCTGCATATTTTTCCGCTTTATATTTTTAACGCGGACATTGAGCAAGATTAAAAGAAATTAATACACGTTCTTTCCTTGCATAATTTACTTTGTACAACTTGCGTAACTCATATTCGTCGCTTCGATCGCTCCGATAGAGATGAGTCGCGCTAATTGTCGATTGGTCACACAGTATTGAACGTAGGACAAACATGCTGTTGCACGTACCTGACTGTCGGACGCTGGTACAGCACCAAACAGATCCACAATCGGCTGATTAGCATTGTTGGTTGGAGAACTGAGGAAGGGGTTTGTGCTGGGACCACCCGATGGTGATTGAACTTTAGCCTGCGGATCGAATTCACTGATCAAAAAGAATCGTTCAAAACAGAATTTGCACATTTCCAGTTGGAAGTTAGAACTTTGAGGACTATTGAGACACATTGGACAAGTGTTATTTGACAAGTAAAATTCGCTTGCAATGCTTATAATGCGACAACGCGATGGTCATCGATGGTCGGCACGTGGCGTGTGGACAACAAGTTGCGCAAAATTAGCCCGACATAGAACGCGCGTTAACTCGATATGGGTACAATTAGGTGCCTCGATTGAAAGATCACAATCAGTGTGACTGTGCGACGAGTCAATATACCTTGTATTGATTCATGGCGGCTTCCTCTTCCGCGAGAGCTTGCTGTCGCAACGCTTCGTCGATATGGCCGTTCCCGGTTTGGTCGAGTCGCGCGTTACTGGCTGCTGTTCCGAACGCGGTACTGGTGGAAGACAGGGCGGACACTCCCGACTTTACATTGGTTCTATTGCTGCTTGGGCGATGATAGGATGTCGGATGTTGTGTCGATGGAAAAGAGGACGGACAGAAGAATACGGAAGGTCCGTTTCAGCGTAAAATGTGGCGAGAGAGGAGCGTAAAGGAAAATATGTAATTGAAAACAAAGGAGAAGACAAACAAAAAAACAAAAAAGAGAGACGGTGTAGTAACGTATAGATGTAACAATGCGTAGAAAATTGCAAATGTGCATTGTCACGCACACATACAACAATATCCTTCCCACACACACACACACACACACACACACACACACACACACACACACACACGCACACACGCACGCACGCACGCACGCACGCACGCACGCACGCACACACACACACACACACACACACACACACACACACAAAACACACATAACACTCGTACTCTCGACTTCACTTCTCCTTTTTCTCGCATTCGCTCTCTTCTTCCCGCTTTCGCAACTGTATCCTAATATACACATGCATTTATCGATGTTCTACTCTCTATAGCAAGGAGTATAGCCTTAATATTTTGCTCGGTACACTTTACGTGACCTGTATTTGAAATGATGTACTACGAGTAGTGTTGTACTTGCGCTATAATAAGCAGTTTTGTATAAATACATGTGCATTGCGACGTTACGTAGTTCTCATACTCTTTGATACTTTTATAGATAAATTGCTTTAACAATTAAAAGTGCATCATCTGCAGATACTGAGTGTGCGGCAATCAATGAATGTACGATTTTTCTTTTCTGTAATAAATGGACAGATTTATATAGCTGTGTGATTCATAGCTATGTGATTTAATATTAAATCAACATTTATAAAATTTCAAGCGATGGCACAGCGTGATCGGTTCCGATCGCAATTGGTAATTCAGACTGAGATGTTAAAGCGTGCTTAACTATAACCAATGAACTATAAGGGAACTACGTTATAATTATCTAGATACATTGCGCTCATTCGTGCGATATGTAGGAGTGACAGATTGGATGGTGTAATAATCACACACAGTCACGACTCTCGATGAGAGATACGTACACGTATGTACATAAAAATTAAATACCCAATTTAAGAATATAACCTAAAACGGATACCTAAAACAGATTTAGGATAAAGGTCAAAATTTATAGGGATGTTCTACAACTAAACATTAAATATTGGAGACAATATTAACCTTGTATCCAGGGATACCATCGACAAATTTTTCAAGTTGGACAACTGTTCAGAAAGATAATCAAGAATACCCTTCCCAGCGACAACGCTAAAGAATATTATCCAGATCTCTGCAGTCGATAATTACATAAAAGAAAAATGATCAATACATTCCACAGGTCCAAAATAATTAATCGGGAAATCAGGATGTTCGGAGAAACTCACGGAACCACGTAATTCGTTTGCGTAATTCTTACATGTGCGTGTGCAATAAACGTATGTCAAATATTGTTCATCTTAAAAAGCTCGTGGCGATACGGAATAAAAATGAGATTTTCTGTCCATCGGGTATGAAAGAACGATGAGACGAAAAAAATAAATATGTATATATAGATAGATAGATAATGGAGTTTAGAGAGGAATAGTAATATCAGTTTCAATAGCATTCAGCATTCTATGTATCATAGATGTTTAGGATTATCCCTACGTTAATCGATATGTAAGACATAAATGAGTTGGATAAATGAAAAACTCAGCGTACCTTGCTGATTGTGTCGGTGTATTCGCGGCGGAGCCCTTCTTTCCTTCCAACGATGCGAGATGTTGCTCCAGGGCATCCAATAAACTGCTTGGTGCCTAAGAAGCAATACGCTGGTCATTCTCAGAGCATTATCGAGCTTATCTATCGCGAAGGTGCAAGGTAAAACTTTAATTGTGCATTTAGTCCCGAAAACATTTCCCTCCACTAAAATGCATGCATTCGTCTGGATGGTCAATGAAAGATGAATATATTATGAAAAATCTCCACAGCGATCAGCTAAAAAATGATTTGCGAACACGACTGATTCCACAAAATGTCCGAAAAATATCTCATAGCTCATTATCTACGCTGCTCTCTCTCTCTCTCTCTCTCTCTCTCTCTCTCTCTCTCTCTCTCTCTCTCTCTCTCTCTCTCTCTCTCTCTTTCTCTCTCTCTCTAATCTAAACCACACTAATTCTATTTCGTTAGATAATCAGTGATGTTATTACCTGCAATAATGTACAAGAGGGAGAAACAAATGAAAATATAATCTTTTAGCATAGCTATGTAATTTTGTTCGCATATAGTTAATAATTCCCCGAAGTAGCAATCGACAATTGAACACGAATAATTAAACAGACCGTACTGGTTGACGGTATTAGCGGAATGGCGAGAGATAAATAATATATTGAACGCACGCACCTTCGTCAGGTCTGGTATATCTCCCTTATCGATGCCGACATTCTGCAAGAAAAATATGCGATCAGTTTTGTATTAACCACGGCTGTCTTTACGTTCATCAAGCCATGCGTGCAACTTACTTCCGCGACTTTCAAAAACTCTCCGACCCTGTCCATGCGTATAAGGAACTTCTTGTAGAGGTCTAAGGCGTCCCGGCATTGTTTCTTATTCATGTCGAAATACTTTTCTGAAAGGTCACACGCAATTGGACCGATTAGAGCATAATTCATGATATTCACACGCGAGTCGCTCGCGATTAATTACACCGCCGTTATCGATATCAGCGCGGATACACGTTTCTTCCTAGATAGCAAAAGGGAGTAGTATGTTACCTAACAGATTAATGATGCCGTCATTATAGCAGGCGAATAACCGGATAAGATCTCGAAAGAGAAGCATGAAGGCCATGTTTATGACGCCATTTGTGAGGTCGTTAGCCGTGCAATCGAATTCCAGCAGTGCGTCGAGTTGCGACTGCAGCACCGGCAACGTTTTCAGAAGTTTCTCAGCATTCATTGTACGCAGAGTGCCGTCCTCCTTCCTACAACGTGATTTACGCGGCGATTAATTGCTTCAATATATATACACACAAACACACACATATATATATATATATATATATATATATATATAATGAGATTTATAACGGTAATTACAAATATATGAAGTGCACTATACAATATACACATTAAATGCTCAATCAGTCGCTGGAAAAAGCCAAAGGTGATAATCTCGATGCCGTTTGATTAGTAACGAAATTACTTTTAACACGCACACACGCGCGCACGCACGCACGCACGCATACACATACACACATGTGCACACACATACCCTCTTTTCACTTTGCAGAAGTCGAACGCTACCGTCCTGTAGGAGAGAGCTTTCTCGTTGAGGTACTTGGCGTATCGTCTGATAAACGGCGACATGTCATATCCTGACGCATAAAAAACGCTCATTACTCATCCGTACGTATACAATGAGGTGCGATGAAAGCACTAACACGCTACGCAACAGTGCGTAAAAGTGAAATTAGAAAGTCGGCTGTGCGACGGTGCTGTTGCATTAATTTCATAAGTTATGTAAACGTGCACGCGCGTCGGATCGCCCGTTCCCCGATTGGGAGTTACTCGCGTCTTTACCGGACATTTCGCAAATCTAGTCCGTTTACATTTACGACGATTGTAACTGTAAACACACCCGGTGTGATCTTCGATCTACGTCACATCGATACGCAGATTACAAAATTCGTGGAGTTATGCGGTTGAGTAGCATTGTAAAGTTAAATCGAAAGAATGCTCGCATACACGTGCTACGCGTATCCCTGTTGTTCTTGCAAAGTTTAAGTCGGACGATACAGATACAGAAGAGCTACGAAGCCACGTTAGTAAGTACCATGTAACGTGAAGGAAGTAGAACGAACGTTTTGCAATTAGAACTCACCCACGCGTATTCCTGCTGTGCCCAAAAAGATAGAAAGTTAGTCCAGGTTAGTAAATCGTACACACAGATGCCAGACACATGGAAAAAGAGAAAGAAATTCGCATTTTCCATGTAGACGATAGAGCCGCACAATACGAGGAAGTCGGTCGGTACGGAAAATTCGGATTCGTCGCGGGAAAAGAGAACGCACGCGCGTATTCATCGTCGTTCCGGAAATCCACGAGCGTTGTTACTTTTGCCAAGCGATTCGTTCTCATCGTCGCCGATCATCTCTGACCGGCTTGAATCAAATTCCGTCTCCGGTGTGCGCGTTTTCGGCGAAATCGGAGTGACCGTCGTCGCGATGATCGACTTGCGACGTTCAAATTCAGAGAAGTGTTGCAACTTCTTATGCGACACGTGCATATCATGCCTAGCCGTAGCAGCATTGCCGCGACTAATTCTGCGTTAATCGGATTCGCGCGTAACTCTTGCTGACGAAGAGGATTGTGCGGAAAGCCGTGCACATCGTGCTGCGTATGCTGTTCGCACCGTGAACTCTTTGGTTAATCAAGAGACGAGTATTAATTTTCCGTTCCTCAGGTGAATGAATTGCGTTTCTCGGTTTTGGCAGACGTTACAAATCGTTATGGAATTAGTTGCTGCGTAAAACGTTCCGAGATTGGCGGAAAGAAAAACGGACGTGCAGCGTTGCGGATTGTCGGTACATTCTTCGGACTTCATTCACGAGGACAGACATCGCTGGCAATAATTATGATCATCTGAAAGGCCCACGAAACATGATCGGTGTTGACTTCGTGAATCGTGAGCTGAAGAAGCGTGCCGAAGCACTGATTTGTTGTCCGTTGCTCGGTCCGAAGCGGGCTTCACTGAAAGGAAATTCCGATTTTTACAGCGCTCGGTCGATGTCCGAGTCATCGGCTGTCGATGTTGCGATAACTGCGACAAACGACAGAGGCGAGCTTTTCGCCGGAGGGAAATCCGCGAGGCGCGGATTTATCGCGCGTGTCCCATCGATACTTTCCGCCAATTCCGGAACGTCCCCATGTGATCGTTCCCGAGAAACGCGTCAAAGTACTCGCTGATAAAATCGTATCACGAAATGATCACCTTGTACGCCGCTCTTGTCGAGAAAATTGCTGAGCTGGAACGTACTGTTGCTGGAGGCGAGATACTGCGTAAACCTCTGCGCACAAGAAGATTATTTTAGAATCGGTCGGGGACGAAAGAAGAAATGTGCGAACACGCGTATCTCTAACGGAGAGAACTAGGGGAACAAAAGGTGTGTGTGTGTGTGTGTGTGTGTGTGTGTGTGTGTGTGTGTGGTGAGAGCTTTACCTCGTTGCCATAGCAGAGCATATGATGCACGGTGATCAGAGCTTTGAACACCACCGTCCAGTTTGTGTTCTGCGAGCGTTCGATCAAGAGGTTCGCCAGTTGTGGTATCGAGACGTTCGGCTCGTTGGTGCAGTGGATTAAATCTGAAACGAGAAAGAGAGAAAAAGAGAGAAAGGCAGACAGGGGGAGAGAATGTGTCAGTTTTTAGCGGGCGGCCGAGAGAGGCCAAGGTTGTCGGAAATATTTTCTGGAAATAGATCACCCGCGAGATAGAGAACGCTTTCGACATGAGCCCGCTCTACGGCTGCGGAACCTTGCATCACGAGTCCCCCCCGCAATGGGACATTGACCTTCGTCTCACGAAGAGATTACAAAATTGCACTGTAATTCACATACGATTCGCAATTAACGTCTGCGGCCTGCGGCTTGCGTCGCTGCGCTTCAACGATTATTGCTTTGTCGTTGTGTGCGCGCGAGGAACCACCCTGCCTTTTGTAAAACGCGTCGCGTTCTCTTGTTTCGGAGACTACCAACGCGACTTTCCGGTTGCACGGTTTCGGTGAAAATATATTTCTTTCTTCTGCGTTTCCGCACACTGCTCACGCTAGATTTGCACTCGACTATTGTACGTGAAAGTGCGAGGTAAAAGCGGCAGTGGTTGACTCGCGCGCGTACGAGCCCAGGTTTAGAACTTGGCTTGTTAAATGCAATCAAAAGGCATACGTCGACCTTTTCGTCGATCACGCAGTGATGCTAAATTGCAGTATCACATCAGTGACAGTTATCGATTCCGCTTCGGTTCGGTTCTCCGCTCGATACGATGATTCAGATGTTCAAGTGACTCAGAGGAATCTGATGATTCACAGAATTCGTATCGCCCTCGGCGTTGTTCTTCTTATTCTCCAAGTAGCCAGCGCAACAATGAGCCGCGGTATGTATAAATATGCGTCACAAGTAATTATGCAAGATAAGAATACGGGATAAATTGATGGGTTCAATCGGCGTGTTTCTACATGTGTATACGGCTGCTAACTACTGAAAAATTGCAAGGTCTACGACATCAAAGATCTCTCAGTCGTCCCGATGAATAACATGACACGAGCATCGGCTCATTCTTCGCTTCGTATCTCCCTCATTGAAGATATTTGCATGCGAGCGTAAAAGCGTTAAAAGCCGCGATGTAACAGCTTGGCAAGTAAGAAGTAAGTGCCTGGGAAAACCGACGCAGCATTACGCACTCGCATTCGTATACGCATGATTATAGCGTGTGAATTTACGACCGATACAATGTATGACCTTTCTCTCATCACACACAATTAGATGAGCAAGCCGACACGTAACGCTATCGACAGGATCTTGTCCCGAATTCTGCCCGGCGAATTGCGGCTCGTTTAAAAACAGCTCGTGGAGAGAAGCGCCGAAGGTTCTCGATACTCGAGCGACGCTCTCGAGCCCTGCTCGTTCCCTTCGCCGGCGTACTCGAAAACGGGAATAGCCGGTGCGCGCTATCGATCACACACCGTGACTGCGACCTGCATGTGCCAAACTCGCGTCACGTCGCTTTAATCGTCGCGTCTCGCGTCCATTGCGGACTGACGGAAGAAAATATCACGCGTCCGCGACGTTGACGCGCGGCGGCGACGGCGGCAGCGACGACGTTAATCCGGCGCAACGGAATCCGCGACGACGATGCAACGTCGGGCGACAACATCGATGGGCAACAATCTACGCGTCAATCGCGATTGATCGACGAAAGCGGCCACCACGTCGTGTAACAAGGTTAACAACGTATCCTCGCTCTATTTCTAAGTGCGCCGGCATTTAACGTCGAGACGGGCGTTGCTGGTGCGACGATCATATTCAGCCCTGGCTGGCCAATTCGCCAATCGTGAATTTGGTAATGCGCGATCGAGCGGTCAGGGGCATGCATTGTAAATCTCTCACTTGGGAGGGAGAGAGAGAGAGAGAGAAGAGAGAAATTGAATTATTTCGTGTTACAAGAAAAATAATAAATACAGAAAATTATTACAATCGAGAGAGGATTTTTGCGAGTATCGAGTCGTCCCAACAACACGCGGTGGTCCGACAGTTGCAGGCAAGCGAGGAAGAATAGCTCAAAAGTAGTGGGTAAAACTTGAGAATTTTAGGGCCTATTCCGAATTTTGATATTTATTTGCTACTTATGGTAAAAATCTTTGTTGTGACTCCGACAGTGATGATCAATCGGGGGAGCCCGAGAAAAGTGTTACCCACTTATTTTTTAAACAATTCTTTTGGTAAATATTCAGAAGTACTATTATAACTACGTTTTCTTGTTCAGTAATTTACAAAACTAGCTGTAAAAAAAAATGTACACAAAGTTTTACATATATATTAAGGGAGGGGGGCTAAGATCTTTATAGGAAAAAACATGGAAATTTTATTCCATATATTAAAAACTTTAAATATCGATTTTATACTGATTAAATACCGTTCACAATTATTACTCGAATCTTTCGCCTTACTAAACAGATGAGTCTACGATATACTAAAAATGGATACTGCAAAGATTAGCAAGACCCCTACGCAAGATAGGACATATCATAAATTACAAGCAGAGCATTATTCATAATCATGCTCTGCTTTAATCAATAGCACAAATTTATATTATAAAGTCTAAATTATAGCGAAGAATAGTTTATGTCTTCGGTTTTTATGCTTTTACTTAATTTTAAGTTTAAATTTGATTGGCATTTTTCCTTCAGAGTTTTATAAGATCCGAAAAAACTTGAAAAAAATAGGTCGGTAACATTTTTTTCGGGCTCTCCCCATTGATTATCATATTGTCGTAGTCACAACAAAGATTTTTATACTCCCACAAGTAGCAAAAAATAAACAAAAAAAAAAAAAAAAAAAAAAAAAAAAAAAAAAAAATATATCAACATTCGGAAAAAGCCCTATTCTAAAGTTTTACCAAGTTAGTGTAATTGGTTGGACAGTAAAATTTCACGTGTACACAATATGCAAGTAATATCCGTTTCTTCGAACGAGCAGCGAGAACAGCGAAGAAGAAGAACAAGGCAGGCAAACGGACAAACAGACAGGCAAATTAGACGCGAGATTGCGTCTATCTGATCCGGCGCGAAAAAGACGAGAGAGTTAAGCAACGCTTTACCGCGCGGACAGTTTCCCACGCCTCTAAAACCATCTCTCGCTCTCGACCGATGATCCCGCAATATCGAAGTCACGAGAGGGCTTCCAACGAAAGTGCAGCGCGCGAGCGGAGGGGCACACCGGATAAACGCGAATAAAGCGGTGAATCAGCAGTAAACTCCATTCTACGAGCTGAGGCATTTCCATACGATTAACGCGCCAAGTACACGCTCGGTGTTAACCGAGCGGCGATTTCCCAAACTTATTTGTATTTCGTATACGCGAGATGGGCGCAACTGCATTTTCGAAAGGCGCGGGACTGCCGCGTGTACGACGCGACGCCACAAACCACACCGTATACAACAATCCCTCTCTCGGTGTAATTTTCTGACGTTGTCGTCAGACTGAGTTCCTGAATGTTCACTTTCCGAAACGCGGTTCTGAAATTTGCAGTGTCGATCTCGATATATGACGAACCAGAGAATAACAGTCCGACAATCTCGAATTATAGAAGCTGCTTTCTCGATCGGCGACCGAAGAAATCGGGAAGCCGAAAAAATTCGCTTCATCAAAATTCTCAGTCGAGTGACTAAGCGAGGGGAAAGGGGGGAGCAGACAAAAGCTCATGACTCAGAAAGGACATCTTTATTGCGGCGATCGGACGAAAATTCGCCCAAACACTCGGCTGCTTTAAAACCCGCTCGAGATACTCGAGAACAATCGGGAAATCTCCTACAGGAGTCTTCCTTCCTTCCTTCTTTCCTTCCTGCTCCCTCCACCCGAGTTTTCGTCTGATCTTCAGGTAACGCAGAAAATCAGAAAATGACATTCCTCGGCCGAAAATTCCTTTTCGCGCAGATAACGCGTCCCACGAGACAATCGGCGGTCGTCTTGCCGAATGCAAAGGTTGCGCACGCGAATGCAACGAGCGGCGCGCTATTTGTCTCGGGCGGCGTGCCGACCTTGCGATGCTTCCCGTGCTAATTATACTCGTCTAAAGACGGGCGGATTTGGCGGTCAAGTATATCCACCGGCGTCACCGCTTGTCAAAGCAAAAACACGTTTCGCGAAAATTCATTCAGACCGCCCAATTTGCAACAATAACACACGTAGCCATTGTCGCCGCCTCCGCACGTTGTTGCGCGTGGAACGAATGCGAATTCGCGTTGTACGTTTTGTCGAAAAAAAAAAAAAAAAAAAAAAAAAACGCAGCCGCCGAAATGGCCGACGAACCTACATCCACCTACGAGGTATTCAGGATAAAAACGTAATTTTCAAGCGCTTTATTTAAAGTGTTTTCCAGCGCGAGAATAATACTATAGCTAGTATACTAAAAGTATACTAAAGATTTCATATATTTTTCATAGCACTGAGAAATTAATTATTAAGGGGGGAATATTACATGCGGAAGGCCGTTTTCAAGACTGTTTTTACGCTTTTTTACGAAACAGAAACGACAGGACTTGAAATTTTCACAGTGTATTAATTAATGTTCAAAGTACAAAATAAATTTTATTGAATCACAAGAACCGATCCAATTTGTAATTATAAATAAAAATGCAGTCATCCGTTTGCGAGCTTTATGTTTACTGTCGACATAATTCCGGGTCTCTCACTACTTTGAAATCAAAAACCGAGAAAGATTTTAAGAATATACGGCGGACGTTGTAGTCCGTACTAAAATGAAGGCGGTGAAGCCAAGTTTGGAAAAGTAATGACTGTACAAAAAAAAATATATCGAAAATGAAACTTTTCTCAATTTCATTATATTTAATCATGTTTAAAAAATAGAATAAAATAAAATATAACCGTGTTCTGAGATAGGGGCGAAAACTACACGTGTTGTTTACTGTACTATACTGTATAAAACTTTGAAGTTATTCGGTTCAGTAGTTATTGCGTAATCATGTCGAAAACTTAAGAAAATGGTGTTTTCAGGTGAACGCGCGTTTCAAGTTTTACGTGTTTACTACCCATATATCATAGATAGTAACAAATTTATTTTGTACTT